TGATCAGATATTTATTGAAGTGTATTCGGTATAACACGCTCGCTTACGCATAGAACACCTCCCGTAGCGGTCTCTCCGCCATCCGGAGCAGCACTCTGTACGAGTGCTTGTCCAAAGTCGGCTGCGGTAAGCGTAACTGGATGATTGCCTGAAAGATAGAGTGCAGAAGAAAGTAAAAGCGGCTTGTCATTGTGTTAATAGATGTTGGCTTATTCATGTTAGCCGATTGTAGGTGTGGCGGACACAGAAGGAGGGCGCAATTTGGTTTGGGGAAATCTTTGTTCACCCCCAAATTTCCCAACTTCAAATAGCGCCCTCCCATTGTGTCTGTCATGCTTCATACAAGCTACAAAAGACGACTGACGACATTGACTACTTAATTCGGGTTCAACCTCGTCCCCATCGTCTCTCTGTTTTTTGTTGTTATGTTTCAGTAGGGAAGAATGCATCCAACTTACCTGTACCGAGTGCATCGAGCCCATCCGCACATTCCACAGTAGACAGTGTACCGCTGACTGCGGTACGTCGTGTACCTCTCCGTACCCCAGTACTGGTACGTCCGTCTGCATCTGTGATCTCTGAAGACGAAAGGTAAGCTTTGAGAAGAAAGTGCCTTGAATGCCCTTGTGACCTAACTAAAGGTCTGCATATCCGGTCATGTTAGATTCTGCGTGTTAGGACTTTCGAAAAACTTTTGTGACAAACGAATATGCAGGTTTGGTTGGGTTGCTGTTTTGTTTTGCTCTGCTTTGCATTTTTGGTGTCTTTCGTTTGCAGTTTGTTGCTGTTTGCTTTGAGGTGCTTTTTTTTTTAGTTTGTTTATTTAGTCTGTGCCATCTTCTCTGATTGTCAGGGACAATGAAAGTCCAGAGTCTTTTGAAAAACAAATCATGTCCCAAACTAAGAACACAACAAAAAGCCGTTTTAAACGTACCCTGTTCCATCCACGGTTATTGCCACACTGAAAATCAGTACAGCTCCCAGGATGCAGTGCAGCATGACGTCCATCTTGCCTCGTTGACCCACCGTGAACTTCTGTGTAACCGGGAAAAGCACTATATGTAATGGTGCAATTATACTTGCTGTTTCGCTGTTGTAGACAGCAACTTATGCAAAGTGCACGTGAAATGGCTATGATGCATTTTTGGTGTGAGATTCGATTTTTTTATACAACCTATTTTTACTTCTTGAATAGAATGTGTGCAGTCATTATGCATGTATTCAGTTCTGATAGTTTCATAAGACTTAAAGGCGGTGTACACTATTGGTAAAATCCCGAAAATCGGACTACCATATAATCCAGAGGTATCTTACATGAAAGAAAGTACACAACAGTCTCAATCAGTCTGTTAAATATGCTGTAGTTTTCGAAAAAAACAAAAATGTGTTTGTCTTTTATTACGATGGTTGGCCGACCATCGTAATAGAGTTAATTTCACTTCTCACATCACATCCTTTAACAGGCGCCACATTTCTTATGTGTAGTGTTTGCAGATGTTGTGAGAGTCTCCATTAATGAACGGACGAACTTAAAGGCAGCTAAAAATATACTGACATTCTTTCACCGAAAACACTGTGAACTGAAATTATAGACATCCGAGTGTTAGGCTTTAAGCAGAAAATAAATTGGATCCGTGTGATGTTGAATTTTATTTAAGGAAAGTTTTTTTTTACGGAAGACTTTGCGAATTCAAATCCACCCCTAGATAATAATGGTATGATCCAATATGGCGGCTGTTTCCGAGGACGATGATTTTTGTCAACAAAGAGTACGATTTCCACACGTTAATCCTCCCTTGTTTTAAGACATAATTCTTTTACTCGTAATTATTTAATGACTCAACATGGTGTTTTAGACTTTCATCGACATGTGAACTGACATGAAAGTGCCGTTATATAAACACGATTGCGCGCACGTGCATTATCACATAGGCCTAGTCGTTTGGATGTCACAGACACGAGTTGACTGCTGTGTTCCTAGATGGAGTTTTTCCATGAATCCGCAATGAAACATTGCCGCGGAGGCGCATTGCTCCGAGGTAAATTCACTGATTACTCCCAGCCGTTGAAATCTGTTCCTTTTTAAGGGGAATGAGAACCTGTCATGCTTGTTTCCCACCCTGACCCCGCGGACGTTGTTCTCTTGTACTACGAACGCCCTATAATCCATAGATTTTACGCAAGATAAACTAACAAGACCTTCAATTTAAGCAGGGTCGCCTGATGTTGACGTTTTCCCGTCATACATCACGATGTCTGGTGGATATAAGACCTCCAACGACGGATTTAGCTGCATGACGAACTATTCCTAACGACAAATTACCCATTCCTTCATGTGACCAGCAGTTTGGGGATTCTATTTCCAGACAGTCATAGACAGACATGCACTAGCGGGGTTTGGATTGATACAGTTAGCAGAAACAAAGACGCAGATGAAAGCCTCCAACACTAAAACATGCAGCATAATAGGAAAGCAGCACTATAGCTGACAAGCCGCTTATTTATACATGTATAACATCCTTTATATCAATTGAGACAATTCGTGTATTAATGTTTCTCTCAGACTTTAAAATGATGAAAAGATGGAGGAAAATCTCATTAGTTTGAAATTGTCCTCAACGAGTAATCGGCCTCGGGAACTGATTGCTATCAGTTGTAAATATTATTTAAGAATAGCTGTCACATGGAAAAACAGTTTGATTTTATCAGAATGAAGTGTACTATTTGGATTTAAAAATTGGATTTTATTGTCATTATATTTAAGGTCTGACCTGTCTGCGGGTGATAAAGGAGCAAAACCTTGGGAACATTCTAAATCACCTTTGTGACCATTTCGGCACCCTTTTAAAAATTTATGGTTTTCATTTCCGGACAACATATTTTTGTCTCCCGACCTCGAATCCCCCCCCCCTTTTCTACCGACCCTGCTGAGGGGACTTTGCCGATTAAAAAAAGTTGGTTGTGACGACCTGTACAGCAACAGCGCTGAAAATGTCCTTGTGAAGATATACTTGCTGAAAATATACAGTTTGCTGGTAAGCGGGCGCGGGACCGAGTCCCACTATTCCCTTATTTCTGCACGGCCATCGGCTTTACAGGCAAAATGTGTAAATGCCTGGTCTTTTAAAAAGTGTATGAAGTCGCCCCATTTCAAAAAATTCTGCATAATTCTCATTTTCTACTCACCCTGTTTTGGCTCTTGCTAAGAAAAACAAAATTCTCATTCTGCAGACCCTTTCTGCAGAATGACCAAGAAAAATTATAAATTATTCTTCTGAAAAATTATTACAGAGCAGTTAGGCACTAACATTTTTGCAACAATAATAATGGTGTCTACACGTTGGCAAACTCTAACGAGGCAAAGCAGCAATGTCCCACGCCACATCGATGGCAACGTGTTTTCAACGGTATTCGTAATCTCACATCCACCCCCCTTCCTGAAATGCTAGTAAACTATGAACATTCTTCAAATCGTTACATGTTGTTCATAAAAACACATACGGAACAGCGGGGATCCAAAACATCTCAAATTATCTATGGCCATATAATAGCCCAAAACTTTTCTGGTTGGGTTTCATCAATCTAGGGTTAATTTGATGTTGAAAGCAAACAGGAAGTCACAATTTTCGAAGTTGAAGAAGACGTTTCACATCAAGACGAATATCGTTGGAAATGTTACTCTTTCGCCAAAAGTATGTATGCCTTTGCCTAATGGCCTCGTACCCAGAACAACTCCAGCCTCTGCTGAGATTTGACTAGTGTCCAGCATTCTTGGTGTAGGTGAAACAAGCAAGAGCTCATATAGTCTAATGGCGTGTGTATTCGCTACTAGAGCGTTTGGCTTCAAAATGGCTGCCGCGTCACATGTGTACAAGCTCGTTATCCTTTCTGCGTAACTTGACATTAGGTTGGTCTCCTTTCACCAAGATCTAAAGCGCTGATTTTGGGCTAGTTGAGGGCGCTGTGCATATACCTTGTGAGTTGCATTGACCGAAAGAGGCTGCGTCACGCTGTTCAAGGGTTAATAATCATACAGGTTTACTTACTTAAGCATCATGTGGCTTCATTCTCAGACTTACTCGTAATTATCAGCTCATGCAATGCCTTCGTATTCGTCAAACAGTCTTGTAGAGTCAAACACTGAATCTGTCACGTCATGAAATGATTCCCACCATTGCGTTCAAAATGCAATGCGATTTTTTGTGGTCAGATCAAGTTTTGCGCTGCGAATTTGCAATAATTTCAACTTGAGCGAAGTTTTGCTGCTAATCTTTCGTGATGTCTAGTTCGCTTTGCTCTCACACTCGTCCGAAGTATGAACCGGTCATAATTTTCTCTACTATGCGCACAGCATTTTAGTCACTTTCAATTGCGCATGCTCAGCGTGTCCTGTGCCAAACGAGCATAAACGAGAGTTTCCACCAATGGACTCGCACTGCACATTAATTTGTGGATTATTAATATGGGAGTTGTTACTTTGGTTAATTATTTCATTTTGCGAATGAAAGCAAGTTGGATGTTGTCGAGGGAAAGGCTTAATATTATATTTCCATGTGCAAGTTCATTTATTCACCCGTTGATCACGAAGTTATAAACTTGATACATTGGCCATCTCACACGATTTCATGAGGAAAAGAGACAGAATTCAACAATCAGTTGCCAAAAAGCTGGGGTGGTGTAGAATACTTTTGAAAAAAAGGAATAAAAAGTACAGCGTGCAATACCACCAACCAATCACTTGAGATATGTTCCTATGACTAACACGTTTCTTGCTCAAAATGACAGGCATGGCAGAGGCACAATTTCTACATTTATCTCAAACGGAAATGTGTCCTATTTTGAGGAATAATTGGAAAATTAGGGAAATTTCGTTTGATGAAACGGGGTAGCATGCTGAAACCTCAGATGTGACAAGAAATGTGTCTTTGTGAAGTTTACTCTTCAGACTTGGTAAACAGTAAAAAATCCAACTTGCAAATGTTTCATTGAAACAATTTAAAGATTGATGGAATGTTGAAGCAGCAAACACATTGATCTCAAAACTAAATAGTACTTAGTTTCAATGAAGCTGTCTTGCTTGCGCAGTGTTCTACTAGTTGTACATGTTAACGGGGTGAGTTGTTCATAGTATTTGCTGAAAATACTTCATTTATCAATAGTTTGGCCTTAGTAGAATAGCGTGGTGTTGAAAGGCTTTGGAAATTCGCAAATCGCTTATCAAATTTCATCTTCTCCGACTCATTTTTTTTCAAAATACATGCTTGAAAACCCGTGCTCGCCGATGTGAAAGGTTTCACAATTTACTTATTCCATTGCCCTGAAATATTTCAGAAAGGTGTTCCTTCAGGCACATTGTTTTGGAACAACTGCTTCGTGGTTTCGATTATCAAATCTCCCTCGATACACTGTTTGAAATTCTTCTGAACTTTGACATAGATAATGATATCCATCCCCGTTATAAATATCCTGTTCGTGTACAAAAAGTTATTTTGTACTTAAACAGATTTTTATTTGTGGATTTATAAAGACGTTTGTGGAAAACAAAACAACTTAGACGAGGTTGGGGGAGGCTGCCTATAAAGTTGAGAAGGTTACGCTTTTCACAGCTGGATGACATGTATTAACATGTTTGAATTTTGTTTAGTGCGTTGAGACTTTTTTGTCCTCACCTGATTGACGCAGTATAGGATCACAGTTGCTACTCAACTACTCCATAGTGGAACGCAATTGGGTTATGTGCATTAGTTTTTGTTTTCTTTCAAATTTAGTCACGGTTGGCAGGATGGCAGGTAAAAAAAATGGCAAATTTTGTTTTAGTAGTTCTTATTTTGTTGGCATGTTAAGGATGACTTTAAATAAAACTCTTTATCTGCAAAGGCATTACCTGTTACTCGCAATTACGGAAAACACATGGAAAATGGCAAAACCAGCGTTATTGAAGTGGTTTTGTGCTCCAAAGTCAATATACAAATTTATGTTACTTCAATTTACAGAAGAAAACTGTACATTTTCAAAGCTTGTCGATGGGTTTCTGTTGTAACACAACACACTATGATGCACAGTCACAAAGTACGTCTGTTACAAAGATTCTCTAGCTGTTATTTACTGATACATTTTACAGAAAACTCATCGTAGAACAACAGAACTAAGTACAGACAAAAACCCACAACTGGATGAATTTTCTATTTAGCCCCTGTTCGGACGGAGTGCGGGTTCAGAAACAAGTAGTTTCTGGGCGAGAGATTTTTGCGGGGGCCAGGTTGGAATACTTTTAAGTAACATTTGTAGTCTCGGAAAGTCGGGATGAATTGTGGATGATTTGTACAAGACTTGAATGGCCAAGCGCAGACACAGAACAAAACAGTTGTGGCATGGGGGATATATGGGGGGGATTTCTTTAACATTATTATCTGTGATGAGGGGTCAAGCTAAATGGAGGGAATATTTATAGGTTTTTAGGAGGAAGAAAATGAAGAAAAAATTTAACAGTAGACGACATTGGTTTTCTCTCACATTAGTCCAAAAGAAAGAAAAGCAAAATTTTTACTTTCCCACTCTGCATGCTCGTTCTCTTTCAGATACGAGTGTTTCTTTGTTGACAGCAAATTGAACTTGAAGTCGAATTTACTGTCCAGAACATCTTATGAGGCAATTACTTCTGAGGTGTAACTTAAACACACAAAAAATATCCAGTAAGGACTCTCCTTACCTTATATTCTTCTATTTCGTGGGACCAGTCTGCCTCAGTGCGGTTGACGATGGCAATCCTTCAAAATGAAGTCTCTCCAGTTCAGCGTCCGTCAAATACCTCGAGGACCACCTCGTCGAGAACTGTAAAGACAAGCCTGGGGAGCTGGATTTTATATCCCGGCGCAATCCCGGACTCCTGCATGTAGATTTTACAAAAAACAAACCACAGCTAAAAGAAATGATGTAATGATGAAAGGGGGAGGGGGTATATCAACGCACAGGGTCTTCTGTCCGGCTCTTTTTGAAATGATGAGAGAACAGCGAAAGCAAACAAGTCGGATCTTGTAACGAAAACCAAACAAGTGTAAATCCATTGAGAGGAAACCTTTCCTCAAAACAATAATCTATTTCCTGTATTTCCGTTAACTTTGTTTTATTGAGGGATATTTATCAAAAGAAAAATGAATATCATGGCTGACCAGGACCCGGATGCTTTCCCTCTCGCTAGTATGTACCATTTTGTAAGATTGTGCTTAAATTACGCTATTGTAAGTTATACTGGGACCTATACCATACCACTGTTCGAACGATCGCTTGCTCTTTGCAAAACAACCAAGGCAATTTTTTATCGTACAGTTGGTGATATATTTTTAGTGCACCGTATACTTCCTGGTGTGCAAGGCTCATTTGAGTGTACATCGTCTCCTCCAAGTCTGCATTAGTCATACTTATTTCTGCTAAACTGTTTTGTTTGTTTAACTTGTGACGTTTAAATTTCAGAGAATTATGCTCAAATTCACAATTTCGTGGGCATCGAAGCAAATGGGATTAAGATAAAGATATAGATAAAGTTGAAAGAAATTATAAAGTGTTTCCATCAGAGGCATATTAATGACTTTTAGTGCAATGATGAGAGTAATTTCACGAGGCTTTGCCTCGTGCAATGGAACATTTCGTCTTTTCCCTTATGAAATTATTGTTAAGTGTAATTTTAATTATTTTAAGCATAAAACATTCATCGTTTGTTTTAAATAATACCTGCATAATAAGTCCGTCGTCATTATTTTCTCCTCTGTTAAGAGAAGAAACGGTCCTCGCGATTAACGGCCGCCATCTCGCGAAACAGTTTTGTGTCCGAAGCACGGCCAGCGCACTGGTGGAACCGTGCAATGTTAGACTTCTTTCTGTCCCTATGTTACTTTCTGGACCCAGTCAAGTGAAACGAAGTTCTATTCAAAAGGTTCCGTTGAATATATAGGACGGATATTTTAATTACGTGATCAACAATCCAACAATGCCAGGGCGAGGATCTATGCAGGCATTGCATAAAATAATTATAATGTAAAAATAATAGCTTTATGTATGTCAGTCAACTATAATACATTTTGAAGGTTGTGGAATTCTTTGTAAGATCAGATTAAGTGAACTGACGGAACTCACTGTGACCTGCGCAGAGTACTGTAGTCCAGATGAATCAGTGAACCTGCCAGGATGACGGGAAAGATCGTCTCATCCAATCTACATGATAGACGACCTTAGGTCGGGTCGAATAACGTTCTCATAATTGTTTAATTAACACAAAGGATATTTAGTTTCTCTCTTTTTTGAAACTTGTGTCTATGAGGGTATTTTCCTCTTTCAAAAGTGCGAGAATTAGTTTGTACCACATCCGTCACACATTTGAACTGTCCAGAGTCGGGAATGCGACCGAAAATCACTCCACCGAGCGACCGCTTGCACATTTTGTGCGGACCCTTACTAGCTGTTTCCATCTTAATGAGGTTCATTTAACCCTAAAAGAGCCGGGTTACTTTGGCCCATCTCATAGCGGGGGAGGGGGGTTGCTCCCTCCCCAGAACTCAATTATACCACGCCCGATTTTTTGGGAACTTGACATGCTTGTACAAACTCTCCTCATCGCTACAAATGGGAAATTTGAATTCAATCAAACATATGGTTTTGTTGTTACGGTCATTTGAAGTTCAAGGTTGTATGCGTGCCAGTACGCGTGCGTGAATGAGTACGGCAGGGGAAAAAGTATTCAATTTTGGCTGACCCGTCTCGGGAAAATGCGTGCTGCGCGAGAATGGTACGTTCAATTTTTGCAACAATGGTGTCAAACTGGCTGCAAGGAGTAACTCTCAAAATTCTTCAAGGCTCAACTCCGGCGAAAAATGCGCTGCAGCGATATCGGAAAAAAATGTCGGGGGTGGATTCTGCGCCGGCTCTATTTAAGGTTCAAGCACTATTATTCACATTAACCTCCACAGTGGGAAGGAATCGTGTTCGTCGTTCCAGTGATACAGTCAGTCAATTTTCTTGATAACAGATTTAGCAGTATTGGACGGGGTTCAATACTAACGGGACTGTCTGTAAATCTTAGGGCCAATCCAGGGTAGTTTTCGGGGGGTAGGGTGGCTGCTATAATTGGGAACTGTCTTTATGTCAGCTTTTAAGTTCTTTATGAGGCGAATGGACATGGATCCCACCCCCTCCCGCGACCTGTCACCGTGTAAATTGGGCTACAACAGACAACCTATTACACGGCCTTATACCTAACCATTGACATTAGGGAATGCAATGCAGGAAAACTTGAGAGGGATGCTACGATTTATTTCCGTCAAACGGGATCGGTATCATGCCTATTTTTCGCAGTTCCCAAATTGCCCACAACATCCGGCTGGGCTCATTTAATTAACTTAATTTATGGGGGGGGTCAGTTTGACGCAGTTTTTCTTCCTTCACCGTTGCAGCAAGCCTGGGTTCGATTCCCAGCTTGGTCCACACGTGGATTGGGTTTTCAGTCCCTACCTGCTTTTTTTCTGGGTTTTACGCAGAATGGTCTCCTGTCCTCCTACCTCTATAATTGCAATGACTAATCATTACCCTCATTAAAGAGGACACAAACAAATTTTAAAAAAAAGAATTTATATCTTCGCTCTCTTCGCTGCTCTCTGAAGTAAAGTCCGTAGCTGCCAAATAGTACCCCACACAGACGTGATTACTGCTGCATGGAACCACTAAGCAGCAATCTGCTATGTAACTTTCGCTTCACCATTCGGTTATTATACAATCACGTGTAAGAGACGTGGAAACTTAGTGACGTCTTGCCATTAATGATGTTGACGGTGCGGTTGAGCCCCAAGACAAACTTCTGTTTAGAGAAAAGTGGTTTTAGGGCACTCGCCCTTTGCACATAGTGCCATTGTGTTACTCTGAGTACACTGTGGGTGACTGTTTCATGAAGCAAGCATATTTGTAAGCACACGCATCTCAATGTACCCGTCATCGCTTGGGGTTTTGCAGTCGTTAGGCCTGCAGCACGCAGTGGCCGTCGACATAATGCTGGATCACCCGATTGGCTGATGAATCAATAATAAAAGTCACCTAGATTCAGGTGGTTTACATGTTTGAACGGAGAAATAATGATGTCTCATTATGACCACACTGTTGGTCGTTTTAGTTGTCAGTACATTCTAGTCTGGACACAACACATTGCACTTCACTGGCCAAGTTTTTAAACTGTGTCCAGGACAATAGTCTCGCCATGGTCCACAGCAACCAAGTGTTACAGTGAATGGTGAGTTTTTCCCCTTATTTGACTCGGTATGGCGTGGTACTCAGAAATTACTCTCGACGGAGTGATTTTGTTAAGATAAAAAATCTCCAAACGACTAAAACAAAAGAAGGCTTGGATATTCCCAAAGTCACAACAGCTGACATGAAACGCGATTTCCAGAGTTGATGTACCAGAACGAAATAAGAACTCGAAAATCCAGGATATATACGATACAGTTATCGTGCTCTTGGAAAACTTTAAAAAGTACACAATCATATAGATGGCCAACATTTATGATTAGGGATCTTGAGAGAAAGTAATGCAGGTGGAAATGCCGGAACAGTGACATAGGTCTGAGAAACACAATCACTCTTGTTGATATGATGGTCATGCTGCAGAGAATAGTTCTTGAGTCGCTGTCTATTCTTGTCATTCCACTCTTAATTGTAACCACACGGCGAAGGACAGTTACCCCAAACCAACGCAGATCTACACACCAAACCATCCACGTGTACTTTTACAAGCCCGAGCTGTGGAAGAGTCTGCAAGTCGAGGATCGGCCTCAACCGTCACACCAGGAGATGCAGAGTTCCCTCTGACGGATGCCAACCATCCACATAGCTCTTTTAGAACTTCACTTCGTTAAACTAAATCGGAATCTGTAAATGTTTTCACATTTGACATAAGAAAACCTCCAACGTGGACTGATTTACTTTTGGTCGTAGCAGCGTCCGCTGCTAACGGCATACAAAGAAATCTGGCACTGCGTGGAAGAGACAGCCTTGTCAAGATTTACAGCGGGGAGGAAGCCGTGGCTCAGATTCTGTTTGCATTCGCCGGGGTTTACGCAAGATGTTTTCCTTTGCCCGACACCAGGAGAGGATTACCTTCCCTGCGTCAATATGACCAATGCTTGTAAAGTCCTTAAGCCAGGCTATGACATCTGCCAACAGTTTATTCTAGATCCCTGTTTGTGATAAAGGTGGCGATTGTTTCTATAATTGGTTCTTGTTACTTTGAAACACCAACCTTATTTTGACATTGGCAATAATTATGCAGTCCTTATACACAGAATTAAGACAATAGAGGTTATAAACACTTGTGCTTAAGTTTCCAAGAAATCGGAAGTCTCAAGCACACAACCCATTCTCAAACTTTTCAGTTGTGGATACCACCTTGTTCGATCAATTATATACTGTTATGTCGATTCTTGCAGTTACATTATGTGACCGTACAAGATACATTCTTCTTTGTTGGATCTAAACCCAAAGAATAATTAATTTCTTTTCTTTCCTTCTCAGAAAAAAACACATAAGACACCGCCGTCTGAAGTTTCTGCTCCCGCTGTTTTTGTAACTGGTTTTTAATTAAGATGGAAAGCTCTTCGCCATTGTCAAGGAGTAAACACCGCTTAAGGATCCCACAGCCACCAAGCCTGCTGAACAGGTGTTTTGTCTTTCTTAGCATCATGGGAGGTGTATACGTCTTCTACTTAAACCACACCGTGCTCCAGGGGTCTTACATGCATCATCGGGCCCCGGGTCCTCAGGACATATCACGCCACAAGAGGTCTTTGTCGGTCAATGACAGTTTCTACATGCAAGCCACCCCACCCTCGGGAGACACTTGTTACCTGCGCGACAAACTCCGGTCCCTGTGGATGCCGGACCTGCATTCGGTCTTCTCTGATCCGGTCTCTGGTCAGGTGGTGTTCGTGGGGTTGAAGCTCCTGAGACACTCTTGGCACGGCGACGAGTTCCGATGCGAGTTCCCAGACGGCCAGGTTAGGCGATCCCATATCCTCCGGGACGGGCGAAGCTCCGGCTATTTCCCCCAGTACGTGGTCGTCCTGACCTGCCCATTGCCTGAGCAGTATCGCTGGCGCACCCGGTTTCAGATGAACCTGCGACGGGTAACCACTAATACCAGCTACACCAATGTTACCGTGTGCACATCCGGGGTATCACCCGAGAAGCAGTACAAACTCGCCATCTGCACGATGGTGAAAAATGCGGATAGCTTCATCCCTGAGTGGTTGAGCTTCCATAAATACGTGGGCGTGGAGCACGCCTTCATCTACGACAACGAGCACCATGAAAATTCAAACCTCACAAGAACTTTGGCTGCATACATTAAAGATGGGTTTGTTACCATTATTCCTTGGGCTCACAGTGTATCGCCCTACAAGACCTACTTGGAGGTGCAAATAGCCCATGAGAACGATTGCATCTGGAGACACAAGCATGACGTTGATTGGATGATCAAGATAGACGTGGACGAGTACATCCAACCAATGGATGTCAACCGGACTCACTTCATTACCGACTACCTGAATGAGTCAATGTTCGACCACGTGGGCGCCGTGCGAGTTCAAAACTGGTTTTTTGGCCGTCCGCTCAACATCGCTCCGCGAGGAGAATCGGTCATTGAGCGCAACCGTTGGCGTTCGAAAGTGCCCACGCTGCAAAACACAGGACACGACAAGAACATCCTTCGGCCAATCAACGTGCACTACTTCAAGATCCACAATGTGAAACTTGGCGCTGACGTCATATCAGCTGACCCGCACACGGAGCTGCGATTGGTCCACTACCGCACTGACAATCAGAGGGCACGCAGGTTTTCTTTGCCGAAATTCAGCGTGAGGGATGAGTCTATGGTGGAATTAAGAAATGCCGCCTTGTCAAATGCCAGAAACGTATCTGCTGCAGCTGATATTGCAATAGAGACTTACACCCACGGGAACAATTATGCCTCAAACGCAAACTACTAAGATGGCAAAGGAATAAGTGCGAAGAACTTCTGGTATAAGAAACACTGTCGGTGAACTCACTTTACATTTACGGTGGCGATGGAAAATGCCTACAAAGACTGTGGTAAACATTGGTTGTAATGAACCGAGCAAGATATCAAATTAACTCATCTTAAACGTCAGTTACATGCACACAAAGCATCGACTCAACTTTTTATTAGACCTATATTTTTAACTGAGGATGGATAAGGCAAGATTCGCTCAACTTTAAAGCACGGTTATTTAAAATGTTAATTGTCCCGTTAATTATAACATACACTATACCTAAACGGGGGATGGGGAAAGAAACGGGGTGGGGGTAAACGAGGAATGTGAATCAGACATATCCACGTAATTGCCTCAGAATTTGTGACCTGCTCTGTAAAAAAGAGTCACAAGTTGCTGGAACCACTTTAAAGTTACGAGTCATTTAAAGAGTCTGATGGAATGAGTCTGAGCCCTCAGCATATATTTACCCACACTGTCCACCAGAATACCAGAATGAGTGATAAATCCAAACAAAAGCCTTACTTCCTCGTTCCCATGCCTTTAATGAAACGAAATACTTGAAAAAAATAGCCGTTTGACTCATTTTCACAGAATGGGTCATTTTTACCCTATTGTTTGTACTTATTCAGTCTACATCTGTTAATGATCTGCGTCCTCACCAGGAAAGAAGCATGACCCTTTTGTGTCGATTTTGTTCTTGTTACATGCTCTGCATGCAGCGCTGTATATAAGACATACATGTAAGAATGTGTCAACAATTGGACCAAGGGTTTATCAGATGAACACTCAAGTAGTTGACGGTATTTGTGAATCTGCAGTTGGCTCAACTTGTGACTAGAAATGTCTAAAAAACTGAGAGGGCAGTGCATTTTCAGCTAGTGTGTTGCCGATATCAATATCTAGACCCGGTCAGTGTCAGTCAGAAGGAATGGAGCCGAGGTCATACTTCTCAAAAACAATTAAGCAAACCAAGCAGAAGCAATTCCTTCCACAAAATGTGTGGGGGAAGTTAATCACCGGAGCAGAATCAAGTACAAAGCTCTGAGACGGGTTTTCCACCGACATACCACTTGCGAGTATTGCAACTGAGACCCCAAAGTCAACTGAGTATCCCTTGAATCTGTGTGAAAAAAAGACACAGTTGGTTATACGTCAAAGAGGTTATTTTTTTTTCCATTGATCTAGTTTATTACTTTTTGACGCTCTGACGAGGGTAGGAATTGATGAAGGCTGGATTAAACAGATCAAGGGGCGTATCTAGTAGCGGGGGAGGGGGGTACGGGCAAGTTGCTCCCAGAGACACGGGGATTTTGTTTGAGGAATTGACATCTGCAATTCTATAGACAGCTGCCATCACTTTTCTTTGTGGGTGAGATTTTAAAGTGACACTTGTTTTCAGAAAAAAATCTAGTCTTGCTTCCAGCACCTAAAAACCTGGATACAACGCATGCCGCTACTAAGACCAATGCTCTACCACCAAGACATAAGGCAGTGAAGTCCTCAAAGGATTTTCTCAAAAGCCCCAGAAGAAATGCTCAGGAAATGCCTTTTTGGAAGGAGGGATGGATGTTGATGAAATAAAAACACCGACTTAAGACATGCAGAGAGTATAAAATTAGCGTCAACGTCGCTAAAATACAATGGAGAACAGGTGAGATGAACTAAGTGCACAAATTAAAAAAAAATAATAATAAATAAATTGGTTAATAGAGCAATGCACGCGCCACACGGACAAAACAAAAGACTTGGCAAATTAATTTTGTTCAAACGGAAGAAGACATAATCATTGAAGGTCATAAATTAGAGAGAAAGGACGGTTAAAATATCCAAGACAATGCTTCTAAGTTTGTTTCATTGGATGACAATACTTGAAGAGGAACATAATGTCGCCGATAAAAGCACTCTAACAGAGAATTCGGCTGTACAAAGGTATTAATTTTGACCGACAGCAAACCATTGTCATTCAAGGATGTACAATCAGTGCATCAAATGACTATTAAAGCAAAACCAGGCGGTAAAAAGTACTACCGCACATGATGGAACGCAAACAGGTAGGATGTTTTTTGTTTTAGCATGGACAGGCAAATCAAAGGGGTTAGGCCTACATATACCCTTTACCCATAGTGCACCATCTGACAGGATTATAATGCAGAGAGGGTCAACGGTCGCTTTTTTCTAAATTACCGGCCTGGAAGACTAGATAAAAAGAATAAGGCATCTTTATACCAAAAAATAGTGAAACTATTAGAAAGAGTTCACCTGTCTTCAGGAAAATGGGTAGGCCTAATCAATGGTGACAGACGACAGGATGAGATCGTTCTTTGAAGACAGAATAACTGAATTACTGTCTCTGAGCCTACAGGAGCAGGGGTGCAGGGCGGATCCTGGTTCCTCAAATTACAAAAAGAGAGGGGTGGGGTCCAAATAGACCTCGAGCACACCAGTAGCTAGAGGATATTAACCCTTTCAACATCCAGTTGAAAATTTCCGCTCCCTCTCCGATCCGCAAGTGAGGTCTGACCCCGACCTCTTCTTCCGGAATGTTCGTATTCTCACCTGTTTCGCTCCTTGGACGCCCCGGCCAGTGGGCTGTAGTCCTTACTTCGTATGATGGGACCCTGAACTGGTAGGCCTGGGCAGCACCTTTCGAAACCCCATGCATCTCAATTTTTATTTTTTTAACTCTTCTGCCTGAGCTTGCTACATACAACAAGGGAAAACTATAGCAGAGACATATGCATGGGTGTAAACCGGAGATGCACATTTATACGAACCTCGATTGCGGATCGCCGGAAGTGCCAACTGCGCAGGGTCGCCTCCGAAAACAAAACAAGGTGGATATTCACAGGGCGGCTCTTCGAATAAGGGGGGGCATCCCTGTGCTGCAATGTTCAATACTTGTTCAACTACCAGTTTGAAGTGTACACTGCGCTCCATTTCTACTTAACAGGTGCGCATGCTAAACATTGAGCATCAGTCCCTGAAATAAATATATATACGTGAAGAAGAGTAAAGAAAAGACATAGCCTTTGAAGTCGCAGTGATACGACGGAATTTCTGAAGGAAAAGTCAATGAAGAGGCTAAGATTTATCAGAAAAAAAAACCGGAAATTAAAACTTAGTTCCGAAACTGAGAAGTGGGCGGGTAGTCTGTCTTTGTTGGTTTGTAAACAAGGAACTGGTCACAGACCGGCGCAGAAACCGTACTGTAATAACGTTTTTCTATATACTAGGCAAGATATGGGACGGAGGGGTACCCCCCTACCTGTTCAATCCCTATACACACTCTAGACTACTGTTACCTAACACATCCCCCCTAGAAGTCTGTAAAGAATTCCTAAGATTCTGATCAAACAATGACCAACATAAAGGTGGGGGGGTGGTTCTCTCCGTCCCCCATCTTGTTTTAAATGTTTTCTAGTTTGGGTGATGGTACTTCAGCGGTAAAATTCCTAAGTGTATTTCCCTCACTGCCGTAACTGCTATTGCAACTATATCTCTATTTTAATTCTTGCTATTTTTTCATTCCTTGAAAAAAATATTATATACCCCGACCCAAAAGTGGTAGCACCCAAAACTACCATTTCTGTGGTTGGTGGCACTTCCAATTTCTAAAAAAGAAATAACGAAAATATAGAAATAAAATAGAATTGCAATATGTTTTAGGGACTTGCCCTGCCCCTTCCCCCTGAAGAAAACGTCACTCACTGCTTCGTGAACTCAGGAATGGCAAACTGTATGTTTTGTGTTTAATACTTAAAATTATGTTATGTGCTGTTGGTACATGTAGTTAATCTTTTGTGTGTGTGTGTGTGGCTTTGTAAGAGTTCTGAAATAAATCGCATTTTTTTTTCAAATTGCAGAGTGTAAAACTAAGCGGCTATATTGGCACTTTTATTGGCAGATTTTACTTTCCAACAAGTGAATTATTACCCTGGATGATTGCGTTCAGAAATTGTCTATGAATAATGCAGTTGCAAATGACATTACATCACAAATAAAAGGTACTGTGAACATACACATATAATTTTCTGAGATGAATTGCATTATAGGGGGGGAAAGTCAGTTACATATAAACTAGGTGAAAAACAAAAAATAGGATAAGTACATAATTATATTTAAACAACTTTGCCAAATCATTTTTACACTTGGCGCCGCATAGAATGACGTCTGATAACAAAGGCAACCTGCTGAATAACCGGTTCAACCGCCGGGTCACCAAAGAGGACCTCGGACGTTTTCCAATACTCAACTTCGTCTCCGTCCCAGGTTCGTCCCCGAAACTAATCCCCGATCGTGGGCCTGAAGCGTTTAAATCAATTTGAATTACTGTAATTCTTTTGCTCTCTTGCATCTGATATGATGTTTTGTGGCACTGTTAGACTAATTAGTGCGCTTACAGCTTCAAAGTCAGGTGGTAAAAAAAACAGTTGAAGCCAGAGACGGAGCCGAAGTTGAGTATTGGAAAACGGCCCTAAAGAGGGCGCTTTAATGGAACTGCTCGTCTGTTACCTGTACTTCACTCGGTGATTTTCTGGCGATATTCTAGGCTCCGTGTCATCCGCACAGAAAGGTTCACGGACTTATCTGATAACACTGCTTAACGGCTGCGGCTGTTCACATCATGTGCTCGTGCAGCGCAACTATATAAGCTCGAGCCACAAAGACTGCAATTGGGACATTGCCGTAAATATCCAGTGTACCTGTGCTCACGCGTGTCGTGAATCTTTCCGCACGTTCATTGCCTTTTTCAGTGGGTGTTTATTTTTGGAGTGACTTTGCGGTCCATGTGGTGAAGATTTGTAGTCTAGCCCTCGGAGAGTAAACATCCCTCGCGGCCTACAGGGCCAAACAATTTCAAGGGTGTGACGATTTCTGACCTCTCTACTCTGGCTGTATGCACAAAGTTGAACCACTTGTCTTCAAAACTCTCTCACTCAGTTCTTGAATTCGCACTGCAGCTGCAGTGCGGGTGCACTTGCTTTAATTACATGCCACCGGACAGGAATCTCCCGTAGCCCAGGCCTATTTGGTGTGTTTTATTTTCTCTACATAGGCCTATAGAGGACTACCCACCGTACCGACCAAGTTAATTAGCCCGCTGTCTATACTCCTGGAACAGAGTGGCAGACATGGCAGAGAAACCGACTGATTTTGGTCCCCTGGTTGGAGCAATAGATCAAGGCACAAGCAGCACAAGGTTTCTGGTAAGCACCAATCCGGAATTGGGCTGTCATCCATAGGCCTATCTGGTCACATATTAAACATTTTTAAAAGATTTGCAAGTGTCAAATTGGCCCTACACGTACATGCCTAATGCCAATCTACCCCAGAACTGTGGCTGGGTCCGGCATCTGCCCTGCTTGTAACGCCAGCCTTCTATAAAAGGAGAAATTCAAGTAAGAGAAATCTGGGGCATATATTGCCCTTTATTAATAGGGGCCTACATGTACAATCAGCTAGGTTTTGAGTGATTTCTGGTATTGTACACATAGTGAAAGAGGTCTGCCTCCTTTAGTCTCAATATACATGTGTATATGGTGGCCTACATGTACAGTTGTATTTTGAGGTTCGGGTTGCCAGTGTTTGTGGGTGGTATTTGTTTTGGATGCAAATAGGCTTAAATGCAATGAGTGATTGTTAAATTGTTGTTTTGTTAACTATGTTACTTCTTGTGAAGTTTAAAAGGTTGCACCATTGATATCAGCACTGATCAATAATGGAAACAGTTCCATATGGGCGTCCCTTGCATACATGTACATGTAGGTTTATCAGCTACCAGAAAGCCGTAACAGTGTCCTCAAAGGTCAAATTTAGCAGGGAAAATATGATTTGCATTTACATAGAAAACCTTATTTTTCAGACCAGTCTTGTAGGAATCGTTGGATTTGCGCACGGTGTCAAGTCTTATCATTTATGGCACCTAAATACATGTACATGTAACGAACGACTTGTACTTGATACGTGCCCTTAGAAATTCAAATCTAAAGGTCTCCCCCCCATGCTTGGTGCAAAGATCAAACTTGATGCCCACTCATTCAAAGAATACGGGCAATGTACAATAGTGCGCCTCCAAGAGTTTGCAACGCGTTGACCAATCACAGTGCACGAATCTGTTGGCCCAATGCGCGTTTGGAAAGGGTCAACATATTTCACGCACTTTAATTGGTCGACGTGCTGCAAACTCTTGGAGGGGCACTATTGTAAAATGCCCATATTGAATGCTCAAATCTCTGTTAGAATTTGGATCAAATTCGGTGTGCCTAATTCCCACAAAAATGTAAAAACAGGAAAACTTGAATTCAAAAGTACATATATACAGTAATAGGGCTTTATTGTTTATTTGGTTCTTTTTACAATGTAATTTTCTTCTAACACTTTCACATTTATGCTTTTTAAATGCAAAATTCTTTTGGTAACCTTACACTGGTAACTGAATTTTTTTTATTTTTAAATTTTCTTGTTGAATTGTATGCATCAATAATTAATTTGAAACTAAATATCACATATATTTGTATTCAATTTATCAACCATTGTCGACTGACGACTCAAATAATCTGCGCATCCCCACTTGCAAAATACAGGTACATACACATTCCGTAGAGGAAAATTGTGTATAAAAGATTCTCAAAAGGTACGTACGGGCAAGATTCAGAAGTGTAGAAAGTAAATTCAGCCACTGGTGCTCATCTGGTCCAATTCCTTTCGTGTTGTCATTGCAGGTGTTTGCTAGTAAGACTTCAGAGCTTCTCAGCTTCCACCAAGTTGAAGTCAAACAGTCTTTTCCCAAAGAAGGGTGAGGACTCAAGTTTTGAAGTTTTCTCTTATCCCTGACACCTGTACATGTCTGTGTCCCTGCCAAACCATACCAGAAAACGTCAACATTGTAGGGGAACTGACTTACGTGTCGTAGAGAATATCAGAGAATAAAAAGAATACTTTATGCTTCCTTTTTTCTGAGTCCTGACCCACTGGTTCTTGCATGATACTGTAGATGTATTTTGATGGCACCACCCTTTAGTTTTTTGGGGCAGATTTTGGGAAAGTGTGAAAAAAAACCTGTGCTTTTATAAATTCTAGTTTGAATTGAGTGCAAGTAATGCTCAACAGATGTACATGTGCATGTACAATGCACAGTGGGTACATGTATAATGCACACAGTGGTACTCTCTTTCAAAGTGTTGTTCTTGTCATATGAAACATTAGTCTTGGCTTCAAGACCTTTCATCAGTACATGTACAGTATGTAGTTCCACAACACAAACCATCTCATACACTGTACATTTATGTACCCGTGTGGTACATACACGTACACCGTACAGGGCACTATCACCTCACCTCTGTCAGTGTACATGTACATGTGATGGTTTGTGTCATGGAATAACCACTGGAACTTCTTGGAACCAAGACTAACGAGACCTTTGTACATACATTGTACATGTATGTATGCGACCTGATCTTTCTCACTATTGTTACTGATATATTCACTCTCACTGAATCAGTATAAAAAAAGTAATAAAGAAAGTCCTACCTGGTACTTGTATACATGTACATGTGGTATGCGCCCTCCTACCACCTGCTTACCCTGTTTTCAGATGGTAATTGGAGGTAGAACTAATTTTTGAGGGGGGGGGTCTTGCTTATGAAGATAAACAAAGAAATTGACTGGGGGGGATTTGAGCCTATGACCTTTGGAATGTGATACTGGCAGTCTGGCATCTTTCCAACTGATGATGGTTTTATGGCTCCTTTGATAAATCTTGGTACAAATATTGTACATATAATTATGTGCTGAACGTTGGTTCTTTGTGCACTGGAGGTTTAGGAACATCCGAACAAGAATTTTTTGCTAGCACAGTGCACAGAATACCCACAGGTTTTTTGCTTACGACATATACATGTAAATGTTTGTATGTATAGAAGCACTAAACTTGTCAGTGAAATTAAACTGATTGGACAGCAGACTACAGGCCTGGGTACGTCTGTTTCCTTATTATTTAGGCCAAGTCAAAAAGAAAGCTACATGTAGTTTCCCCTCTCCACCTCTTTCCTTATTGTGTCTGGTGGCTTGTAGTTTGTCTGTTTTTTTTTTCCCCGAACATAATTTATGTATATTTAAACCTTTTTAATGGTTGGAACCACTGAATGCTGTTCAACTTTTTTCAAAAACATTTCCCGCAAATTTTTGTGGCTAGGAAAACCCAACTTTGAATACATGTACTATTTTAAAAAAAAATTAAAACTGAAAAACTGTTTTCTGTCATTAAAGGAAGTAGGCCCTGTCTTTTACTTAGCGTAAATTATTTGAAAAATGCTCAATCTTCAGATGGGTGGAGGAGGACCCCAACGAGATCTTGGCCACCTGCTACGAGTGCTTCGAGCGGGTCGTGGAGAACCTTCGCAACATGAACATCGACCCGGCCAACATCAAGGCCGTCGGGATCGCCAACCAGCGAGAGACTACTGTCGTCTGGGATCGGGTGACTGGTCAGCCACTCTATCCCGCGATAAGTAAGAACCTGTTTACAGGGGAAGGCATGGATGGAGTGGGGGGGGGAGGGGTAGGGCGGGGGTGGGCCAGGGCAGGGTTTTATCCACCAATTTAGAAACAGGGTGTCCGCATTTGCCTTTACATGAAAAGCAGTGTCCAGTTTGCTGGCACGATTTTATGTCATTAGGTGCGTTTGTTACAAAATTTAGGGGAGGGTGTGGCATTAGAGGAGAGGTAAAATGGTCTATACGTAGTGTAATGTATCAGTAAAAGTGCATACCGCCCTCTGTTGTTGACATTAAAGGTGACCTGGAGGAGGTCACGATCGGTGCACTTGAAAATGACTGTCTCGTGTCTTGTTCTGCTTCTTTCAAAGTCTCTTTCATAGCTGCTCGTCAGCAGATAACCTTACACATAGTGTCTATGAAACATTTCAAGACACCCCTTTGACAAACACTGGAGGGGGTGATTCCGGAATTTGAGCCAACTCTTCAGCCCCCTTACTAATTATTTTGTCTTCCTCTCACCATCCCCTCAAAAGCAGAATCTTTGATTATCCCTCAAACTGAAGGCAATACTGTATAGTTTTGGTTGTGTTCTCAAGCTAATAATGACTTTTTTCTCCCCCGTTAGTTTGGCTGGACACACGCACTGGGACTACGGTGCAGAATTTGGTAGCAAAGACACCAGGTCAGAACAAGGATCATTTGCAGGTGAGCAGTGAAACCCCCCTCCCCCACCCGTTACCCTACCCCTTCCCCACTTCCAAACACCCATCCCTGGTCACTGCAAGTCTGCAATACCTGCACCTCCCCTGATAGACCTCTCTCATGTACGCGTACATGATGTGTAATTCTAGACAACAGATTCAGATGCAGCCCTTGCCGATTGACTTCCAATTTTTTTTTTTTTTTACATTTATTTATTTATTTTTTTGGAGAGACGTTTAACCTGTACATCCAGGATGCCACAGTTTGGTTCAGTTTTTGCAAATGTTCCCATCATTGTTGTGTTGTGGACGGGAAGCCGCCATCTTGGATTCTGTGATGGCCCCCATTGACTTGCAAATGTGTGAAAAAAACTGTGACATCATTTTGGACTTACGAACACTGCATTAATTGTTTCATCACAACAAGTCTAGTTACCGGAAGGTCAATGCATATGCATCACTTCATACACAAATACCCAGTATGATTTTTTTAATAAATAAACATTGGTTTACATGATAAAACAGGGAAAAAACTCTGCATGTTCGTGTATTATACTTCATTTGTTATGGCATGCCGGAGTTCGTGTATACATCACTTATGATACGTTTCCTGTTTTAACAGGATTTTAGAGTCGTTGTACTCATTACAGGATCTGCAGGGAACATTTTGCTATTTTCCCTTTGGGGATAAAAAATTTGTTTATAAAAAATGTCTGCATGTATCTCATAACCTGTCTGATATCATTGGCACTAATGTACTGTAGCGTGTCTTGTCTATGGGCTCTGCCGCTGACAAGAACCACTCGGTCACGCTCACATCTCCGTTCCGGGCAAAACTGCTATGTCTATTTTCACGAAGCAAAAGGGCTGTCTAACACACAAAGCTCCAGACGCGAGGTGTCTAGACGGGGACTGCGCAGGCGTGACGAGGGAGAGCCACAGGCCGTTCGCATACCAGGGGGGCAGCCAGCTAGCTCCATGCAGGTCCGTTCTGGCGCCCCCACCGGCTGAACCCGCCGGCGCTACACCACGTCTAAATTCAATCGTGTTCCTCCTATTTTACTTGTACAGTGTTCTGCATATTTCAACAAATCTAGTCTTTCAGTCCAATTTTGTCCTTGACCACATCTCAAAGAGTCAGTTCACACTAATACATCCACAGTGCACCTCCATCCTAATAGGACATGCACAGAAATGTCAACAAGGCTTTTTGTTAGCCAAGCACAGATATCCTTGTTTGCTGGAGATAAGGACCGTGTATTGTTTGTGCAAACACTGCCAGAGTTCCCATGGGATATGCTGTACATGTACTTGTAATTTATCCTCCAGTGTGTAGTGTGTACTGGTTCAGCCCCCAGGCCAGTTTGTTCCTAGGACTTTTCCCCAACAGTCCCATATCCTGCAATTCCAATGTGATGATTATAAAGGGGATAATTAGAGTTTTGAAATGAGCTTAAGGTGCTGCTGTGTAATGTGTAGCCTGATTAACCAGTTGATAGATGTATAGTTTTTGAGTGGTTTTCATTTGGATTGACCCTAGCCTTATCAGATAACTCAAAATGCACCCAGGGGATTTTATTTTGGAGAATTGAGAGAATCATGTGGCACAAGTGACTGTTACGTTCAGTTGAAGTTTGTAGCAGCAATGGAGTTTTCTTAGTCGCTTTATACCCTTCATCGGGATTATTTGTTGTCCCATTAAATGAATTGAAACATGCGTTTTTTTTTTAAACATGGAAAACTGTACTGTGATGTCATCCAGGAAGACATTTTGGGGTGTGTTGGTTTTTCTGTTCAAATTGTGAATCCAGGGCCCCAGGTATCTCTCCATCTCTCCATTCCCCCATCCACCTATTGGAAGAGATTCATGTGTACACACGGGAGACTTCACACTCTTCCCACGTACATGTACATTTATAGCAGATATATCGCAATAGCCATGCTACATGTACAGTAGATGTAGTGGGAATAGTCACGTGCAAAGCATCTTGATTCTATTAACCATAGAGAGATACCATCAGTAGTAGATCTTGTGATATAAACAAGACATGGGGGGTCCATCTGGCATTTACTAAGTACCACCAAATGGAGGTAAACCCAAACGTGGGACATGTTTTATTTTATATCATTAAAAATAATTTCGGTCTTGAAAGTCATTATCGGTTGAATTGTACCGGTAAGGGAAGATATTTTGCCAAGATTGGTACTGTTATGCGTGAACTGAACAGTAGACTAGAGCCTGCAGCAAGGCTAAACATTTCATGGCTCTAACTTTATGAATGCTAATGTGTGGGAGTTCTGATATGCCACTGTTGTTGGAATCCAGAATGACCTGGCTTGTGGTCTCTTTTCCAGCCGCTCTGTGGACTGCCACTCTCCACGTACTTCAGTGCAGTGAAGCTGCGTTGGATCCTGGACAACTGCACCGACGTGAGGGCGGCCGTGGCGGAGAACAGGTGTTGCTTTGGTACGGTTGATTCATGGCTGATGTGGGTAAGGCTCAGGAAAATATCAATTTAAACTTCAATTTGAAAAGTTACCCATGCCCTTAGTTAGAATCATTTTAAAGTTGAGCATGTTCTGTAATATGTGTTGTTCTATGGTAAATGTATGTTAAAGGCTCATTTTAGAAAGTCCGGGCTTCAACTCTCTGTGTCCCTGTTACACCTGACCTGTGTAATTTGACATGGAAATATAATTGAAATTGACCTCAAACCAGTAGTATTTGTTTGGCGCGGAATTTACATTTACTCTTTGAAATTACTGAATGTGTTCGAACCCTACAAAATCCTACTTGTACGTTTGTCTACTGTGGCATGGACTCACGATGAATTGGACCCCAAATTTATAGAATAACCCTCGAGGTTTTTGCAGATTATAAATTTTTATTGGCACCTAACTACATGCATTGGTTAGCCACCCCGTACATGTACAAAGGCAAACTATAAATCCCCATCTGACAGTGTGGCTTTGGCTAGAAATAAAATGTTTTGCTGTGGAAGCCACTCTATCTCTGCAGTGGCTGCCACCATTTCCCATAAACGCGTTATATAACTCATTGTCGGCCACAGCCAGTTGCCTTCAGTGCATCCTTATCCTCCAAAATGACCACAAAATACAGGCAGCATGTCAGCGATGGTCCATCAGAATTCTCCAACCAGATATCCTGTACCAAACAATAATTTAGTGAAAGAGAACTCCAGTCTTGTGATGAAAAGAAGGGATGGTTATATTTTCATCAATCCTCAAATGTATATGTAGGCCTACCGGTACTCTTCAGGAGACCAAAATTGCACTCCTGCTTTTGGGAGGATTCCACTGGCACATGTACATGTATGCATGTATGGTAAAATGACTGATTTGTTATGAAAATAGTTGATCCAGGCATGTTGTTCCGGGGGGGGGGCACCCCGTAATAATTAATTCCAGTCGCAAATAGAGCTCTGGCTGGCAAATGATAAATCATTTACTGTACATTGGCCGTTGCCCTTGAACCTGTTGAAGAATGAAATGTAGTATACCACATTGTTCCATTTTTCATGACACGAGGTTCGGGAACAAGTTACGAGTCAGCAAACTGGCTCTGGCACACCCCTAAAAGAAAATGCCTTCGCTGGGCCCCTGAGTTGATCACCTAAGGGGCCTTTCCACGCACACGTCATCGGTGCTTGTGGTGGACTGCATGCAGTTGTGTTGTATGTTGTGGAGAGTGTACATTTGAATTGTACAGGAACAAACAAAGTGGCAAGTGGATGCATATAGCAGTAGAGAGTGGACTAGAAACATGCTCTTGCTTTTGCGATATATTTTATGTGCTGGAATGGGCGATGAAGACTTGCAAAGATGCTCATACTTTTTTCAAATTGAGTTACATGGAACGGTTTCCTTGAAGTAAGGCAATGAAGTCATCTCGATTTGATTTGTCAGAACTTTACAGGTGGCAAGGAGAGGGGCCTGCACGTCACCGACGTGACCAATGCTAGTCGCACCATGTTGATGAACATCAACACATTGCAGTGGGATGACAAACTATGCAGGTGCTTGTAAATGCCTGAACAGGTTTATGTCGGTGTTAGCACAGTGTTAGCACAGTGTACGTGTAATTCTGTGATCTGTACAGTAGTTGTAGTTCTACAGGAAGTAAGTGTGACAGAAGTGTTACCCAAGTTTTAGACTGAGCGAGAAGGCTTGCTGGTATACCATGTGGGTTTACCCTAAGAGTAATGGTTCTGAGGAGAACGGGTGATTGTAAACTCTAGGTTTACACTCAATCAGTGTTAGGTTAGTGTCATTGCTAGGTAGCTACTATGCAGAGGATAATCTGGTTTACTACGTGTGCCGTAGATGCATAGAAGCAAGTGTTTGAATACGGGCGATTCACAATAGTGCGCCTCCAAGAGTTTGCAATGCGTTGGCCTATCACAATATGTAAAATCTGTTGACCCATTGTGCGTTTGGTAAGGGTCGACAGATTTCGGGCGTTGTGATTGGCCAATGCGTTACAAACTCTTGGAGGCGCACCATTGTGAATCGCCCATATTGAATTTTAATGATGGTACAGTACAGTCATCACTTACAAGAGTGTGCACTGAACACACCTGCTACATGTACACTGTAATTTGTTTATGTTTTAATATTTTATTATGAAGTGTGAAAAGAATGTCGGCTGTTGATCATCTTTTCTTTACAGCTTATGCTGTACTTAATGCTTTCCTTTTCCAGTTTGTGGTATTTGGTCGTGAGGACAGAGCTTCCAAACCTTTGTTTTATTTCCAACAGGTATTTCTTTCTATTGCAGCTTTTTCGACATTCCAAAATCTGTTCTTCCGGAGATCCGCAGCTCTGCAGAGGTGTACGGCCACATGAGCTCAGGCGCTCTGAAAGGAGTGCCGATATCTGGGGTAAAGAAGAAAAACCACTCATGTTTGATGAAGTATTCGAACCCTTCCATTTCTCTTTGCACACCAGATGGACTTTGTAGCCCATGAACAGGTTTAAAGAACGCTTTTTGTTTAGAGTGAGATTTGTTTCTAAGGATTTAGGAAGGTTTGTTGCAAAGTAGAGAAAAAAAATTAAAAAGCAATTGAAGTGGAGCATTGTTTATTAGTGTAATATAGATAGAATTGTAGATCATAGGTTCTCTGATACTAGTGCATATTTGCGGTGTTAGATTGCGTTTATGGATAATACCGTTGGTGAACCTTGATAAGTTACTGATGGGCTTCGTCAGGTCAGGGGGCCAGATTTGACACCTGCTCAAGGTAGAAAAGAATATGACAAATTCTTTGCTTGGCCACCGTAACCAGAACCACAGTGCTGACTGGAAAATTAACAGTCAAGTCTTGTAGAGATTGTAAATAGGACTGATTCATTTTACACAAATCACCACAGCAAGGTTCTCAAAGGTCTGAGGTCCATTTCACAGTTGGTCTGCCTCAGCAAGACCAAATGTTACAATGTATGTACTACGTATATTTGTTCCAACATACAACATACAAGGAACTGCTCTCCATGATGACTTATTCAGAAATCAGCCCAACAGATGGAGTTCTTTGTTTGTAGATTCTGGGCGATCAGCAGGCAGCACTTGTCGGCCAGACCTGCCTGAAGAAAGGCATGGCCAAGAACACGTGAGTACACCCAGTCATGTTATGCTATATGCCACCGTAGATAGGGTAGTTGGTTTCCTGTTTTTACAATTAAACACTCTCCCTGTGACTAAACCACAGGCAATCCCAGACACTAGATCGATCACCTAGGACGGGGAAACACACTGTTGTATTCGAGTCCATCACAAGTCCTGTCACAAGACCTTTAACATGTCCAGTCACAAGTCCCTTCACAAGGCCAGTCACTAGTAACAGGGTGAACAATGACAGAGGGCTAGAATGCTTTTGTCACTGCTCATTTGAATAGCTTGTGAATTGGTTTAAGACAGAATAACGTAATGGACTTTATATAGGGACTTGCGATGGACTCGTACTCCTGGACTCATTCCCTTTGTGTTTTGTCCTATGAGTAAAAGCAAAACACGTACATGTGCACAGCAAGCGTTGTCTAGGGCAACCGTTTTGTAATCAGAATCCCTTTGGATTGAATGAATCAGAAAGGAGATGCAGTCATCTAGAGATGAAATTGCCAACAGATCATGCTGCAAGATTAAGCACTCGCGCACAAATGGGATGCTCGTGCAGATTGGTAGATCGTGCCCAGCACCTAAGGAGTTCCGTTTTTGTTGGAACACGCTTTTTTTATTTTCTGCTCCTGGTAAGATACGGCACAGGATGCTTTCTGCTGTACAACACAGGAGAGGAGCCTGTCCTCTCAAAGAATGGTCTTCTGACAACAGTTGCCTACAAACTCGGCAAGGAAGCACCAGTTGTGTATGCACTGGAGGTGAGAGAAATAATACCAAATGCCTGTAGACCTTCGGAGCTTCTCCAGAAGTGAGAACACTCCTATGGGAAACTTTGAAATCTCCTTTGGCAAGGAAGTGTGTTTGGTTTTTCTTGGTGGGAATTCAACATCAACCGCAGTTGCGCTTGTAAGAGTAAGCATAGGGAAGCAATCAAAAGCACTGCCAATGTTGAACTTTGTTAGAGCGTCATCCAGTAAAAGGATCAGAGCAGCAATCCGCATTATTTGGCATTGCACGCCTGCATCAATTTACATTAGTGGTTTCAACAATGTTGACACAACGCTTTACAATGCAGACATGACAGAAATGAAATGTCAAAGAGATTCTTGACCGACCATTCTCAGCAAAGTTCAACCAGTGACCATTGTCAACCACAGTACATGTAGTTGTCTGCAGGGCATCAGTCTCAATGCTGCTGGCCAGCGATGACCTGGGGCTAATTTCATAGAGCTGCTTTTGCTCAAACTTTGCTTAAGCAGGAACACCCTTGCTTAAAAAACAAAAGTTACCAGCTCACAATCGATGTGATTGTCATGCTAACCAAAATAGAGGTAAATACTATTCCAAAACAATACACATCACGTGGAGTTTTGGCTGGTAACCTGATTTTGTAAGCAAAGTTTTTTCATGAAGAAGCAAATTTTGTGCTGAAGCAGTGCTATAAATTGGCCCTTGCTTACTCTCTGTTTCACCTTACTTGCTTTCTTTTTTGCCAGGGCTCCGTTGCCATCACCGGGGCTGCAGTACGCTGGCTGAGGGACAATCTTGGAATCATCAAAGAAGCCAAAGACATCGGTATGTAATTTGGTCTACCTTTGTCCCCATGAAGATTGACATTGTACTTGCATTTGTGAAAAGTATTATGAAAGGTGAAATTTTACTCTTAAATATTAGGGGGAACCTGTCCCGAGTGAAAGCAGGAGAGGGCGCTTTTCCCTACAAAGGACAGTTCATTGGTGAGAACTCACCCTATACGTGCACAGGCTTTATGTGCATGTTAGCACGAGACACACTAACCATGCGCGACCAGTTTTGTTTGAATGTATGGCAGTAACAAGTGCATAGGTCACAGACACATGCCTGGTAGGAAAACGTCCCTGCAAACTGTCCCTTCTATGCCATGCTGGCACACTTGGCTGGATTGCTACGTTAACCCTCCTATGCTGAAGTCACTCTTTGGGTCATTTGGTGAACACCTCAAAGAAGCACAGCTGGTTGTGTTGTGCACTGCACCAACAGTCCCTCACAGGAATATCAGATTGCACTTTTGTGCTGCCCAACAACTGTGCTTCACTGTTTCACGTTCATAATTGTGCAGTAAACCAAATGCAGTGAAGAGGACTGCACAAAAGACCCTGGGTCGTTTTNTGCTCACCAGTGACTGGGCATTTGTGCACATTTGTGCTGTAAAACCAAAGGAGGGTTAATGACTGTCCACAATAACAGTGGCTTTCCATAAGAATGGAAATCACAAGAAACACAAGTCCATTCTTTCTCCAATATGTAACAAGATCACAGATTGGCCAAAATGCACAGTCTAGGCAATGGTATCTTTGGCACATTGCCAGATCTTCGACATGCAGTGGTTTTTACATGTAGGAGGAGAAGCATAGAAGGATTATAAGCCCAGAAGAAACCTGAGATCGGTTCAAAATTTAAGGGGAGAAGTATTTCACTTTGTTTTCTTGCAGAAGATGATTTGTGTTAAACCTTTCAATTTATACCCCTGTAGAGCCACTTGCTGCTAGTGTAGACAACTGTGGAGGTGTGTATTTTGTTCCGGCATTTTCTGGCTTGTATGCACCCTACTGGCAGACTGATGCTCGAGGGTATGTTCCTTCCCCCTTTCTTCCCATTTTGAAGGTTATCCTAGACAAACCAAAGTCATTCTGCTAGCGACTTCTAGCCTTCAACATATCTAATTGCCTTTGAGATTATTTTGGGGGTTGTAATTGTACACATTTCGGGAATCATGCAATTAATGTTGTAATCGAGTCCATCACAAGTCCCTGCATGAAGGAAGCCAATTCACAAGCTATTCAACTGAGCTGTGACAAAAGCATTCTGTTGTCACTGTTCACCTAGTGCCCAAGGCTGGCCCTGTGAAAGGACTTGTGATGGATTTGAAAGCAACACTCCGTATGATCTTGTGTAGTGTGTAAATATTCCGTACGGTCTTCTGTTTTTGTGTTTCAGTCGTGTTTTTGCCCGTAGGGGCTGGTGCTTTTTTGTGTCCTTATTATACCTACCCGTGGAATTTAACTTGGAAATATCTTAGAAATCGATTTTAAACTATTTTGTTCAACCAGCAACAAATGTGGACTAAGCACTCTTGGAAATTGAAGAATTTATTTAAGACGTGATGGTATATAATTGTGTCAGATATGAAAGGGACACAAAAATCACAAGAGCAGTGTTGTGCATGTTAAGACTCGATGCCTGATGACCCACACCTCCACTGAGAGACAAAGGCAGTGTTCAAGCAAATGGCCCTCCTGAATCGTGAATACTCTTTAGGTTTGTTGAGACCAAAGACTCTCCTCTGAGAAATGGGCATGGCACAGGCTTATAACCTGCACCCCTCTCTTAAAACAGCCGTAACTTGTTCATAAAGAGATCCTGTGCCCTCTGTTCACTGCCACTGGAGAGTGTCGAAGGTAGTGTGAGGACCACGCCACACTTTGTTTAAGTGTGTTCTTTCATGCAGTGCTCAATGGACTGTGGAACCCTAATGGCTCCATGGGAAAGTGAACGATAATAAAGTATGGTACTTAGGTAAGGACTTAGGCCTATAACAGTCGTGAATCTTAACTGCCCCCTTGGACTGTCCTGACATGATGAGACGAGTACTACCTCCAGCCCTCTCTCCCAGCAGCATTGTGAAAATCGTTTCATCCATGTTCTTCTCTCTCAGAATCATCTGTGGTCTGACCCAGTTCAGCACCAAGGCCCACATTGCCAGGGCAACGCTGGAGGCAGTCTGCTTCCAAACCAAAGAGGTGAATCTTCTCCCGTTGATGGCAGCTTGTTGCTAACTTGATAACCTTTATTCAGGACAGTGGATATTGGTAATGTCGCCGTAGTCATTATCAGTAAACCAACAAAGTTGCATGGCTCCACAGGACGTTCAGATAGTGCCTTTCAGGAAACTGGAGGCTTAACGGTATTAGTCAGCTAGAATTAATGCAGGAAAGCTGCGCGGCTCATTTTCTGTAAAATACAGTTATCATCACCAACCACCTTCTTATTGAAGCACCCTTCACCACTAGGAAAAGACAAGTTGGTGGGAATCATTCCATCCGAGTACCTGGCACATAAGCAGAGACTATCATTCCAACATAAACTGGTAGCATGTTTTTAGTGTGCTGCCAACTAAATGGGCATTAACCTGAAGGCAGCCCGTGGTACGCTCACACGAAAAGACCACTAAAGGACCCCTTTCTTGACTCCCCTTGTCCTGTTTCTTACCTGTGGAAAATGTTTTGCCAAGCTGCAGTTAAAGGGGTTTTGTGAGCTCCTGATTCTTGCTTGATGAGGCAGACCACCCATTGGCATTCTACCTGTCATTCCCATCAATCAAAGTGACTTTACTTGGATGTGTACACGTATACGCGTTTAAGAATGCTCTATTTCACTCACAGCTGCTAGAAGCCATGGACCAGGATTCTGGCATCCCATTGGTCAGACTGCAAGTAGACGGTGGAATGACAGCCAATCAGCTTCTCATGCAGCTGCAAGCAGATCTGCTGAACATCCCTGTTGGTGCGAAACATTTAAACTCTCAAACTCCAGTCTCTCAAACCTGAAAGGGCATTTTGGCCATATTCATGTGTATTACTTGCATTAACATACATAGAATCAACTCCTGAGTACCTACTTCACATTCTGTAGCAGTGGGGACATGCTCAAGCTACAGGTATTTCACCTTCGCTGCGGGGACCAGAAACGGTCTGGGGACAGAGAAATGTCCCCACAACTCGGTCCTGCCCAGTAATAATGGAAATAGAGCCTGGAAGTGAAAGGTCACGCAGAGAGCTTCCAGAACCCTCGCACGGTCAGTCTATGGGGATTTTATATTGGGTCGTCCTATTACGTTCGATAATTGTTGGAAAAATAATTCCTAACTGAAACAACCCGATGAAACACTCATGTTGGATTTAACCATTGTCTTCCTCAAATAATTTTTTTTGGAAAAGTCACCTAGAGATGAGTAGAAAACAAATTTTATTTAATTTAACGACCTTTCATATCCGGTGACATCGTACCTAGGTCTTGTTGTTCATGCACGTTTGTTTTTACTCCCCGTGCTTTTGGGAAAACGAGATTGTACGTCATTCCAAAGATTAACCTACCTGCAGTTGAGGGGTTCCAAATTCCTTTGAGTTGACATCACGCAGTTGTTGTCAGCAAAGGCTTGATAAGATATTAGAATCTTTCGTAAAAGTAGAATTTTTTTTTGTTTATTACTTTATAAATTATAAATGTATGTACAATACTTTGATCTGGTTTTATTTGGGCTTTTACCCATAGACTACCATAAAGTTTCCAACCGTAAATGTTCATCTGCGTATGAGACTGCCGCTTTGCACTGTACTTCGTGTATTTTAGATTTTCGGAAGTGGTGGGTCATTTTTTTGGCATGATATTTTCCTTTTAGGTCAGGTAATTTTTCAGTTTCTATCAGTTGATGTACTGGCAAATATTTTCCAAAGCCCCTTTTCCGAGTTAGATTTTTTTAGAAGTAAATGAACGGTGAAAATGTTACGAATTCGAAAATTCCCATCCTAGGGTTCCCGAAGCGCGCCATTAGGGGTCAACTTTCAGGCTCTATTGTCCCCTTAATACAGTGAAGGCCTGCCCACAGATGGCAGGAGTGTAACCCGTAGGTGAGCAAGATGATTCTCACGTTTAGACCACGTGGCTGTATCATAATAATAGGAACCATTCAGTTCGTGCAATGTAATCCCAGAATAATGTGCATGTAACATTTTCCTGCTTCCGCTAGTATTTTAGAGCAACGCACCTAAATGCAACCCCAACAACTTGTGTGGGAGAACCAGTGGGTTCCCCAAAAGCAAGTGGAAGTTATTTGTCTCTCAATTACTGACCGTGACCACTGCATTTTTTGCTCGGCTTTTGACAAGACACATGCACTGGTAGTTGTTGGTTTCCCAGAAGGAGCAGTATTGTAGTGGAGTCCCTCACAAGTCGAGTTACAAGTCCTTTTGCAAGACCAGTCATAAGTGATGACAAGGGAATGCTTTTATTGCAGTTCATTTGAATACCCTCTGTCTGAAGACTTGCGGTGCACTTACGATGGAGTTGCAGGGACTTGTGATAGTCTTGATTACAACACTGCAAGCAGTACATTGAAGAGTGTCTCATCAATGCTGAAGTACTGACCTCTATCATCTGACTGCATGTCATGCCCTCCCTCATGCCCTTCAACTTATAAGTTAATCCAACTACATTTGCAATTTTTGTTACTGCAATGTGCATAAAGGATGGCACCTCAAGGAACTTGATATGAGTATGGTCATCTTGTATTACTTGGACAGCCTCTGTGAGTCAGTCATAGCCTCTGTCAGCCAGTTGTTTAGACTCTTCCCAGGCTGTATATTACATGTAACTCCTACTTAACCTGTCCCTTTTACATGCATCTGAAGAAGTAGCTGCAACTGTGATAGTCTTTGAAGATGCCATCCCTTCCTTACATTGACGTTTCGAGCAGGCTACCACGCCTGTACACATCTTTTGTCCAAGTCACTGTGACTTCCACTGTTTTGCTCTAGTTCGTCCATCCATGCCGGAGACCACTGCCCTGGGAGCAGCCATGGCAGCCGGACATGCCGTTGGGGTGTGGAGCCTGGCAATGGAAGACCTAACTGCCATCACCACGGATACCTACTCTCCATCCATCTCAGAAGATGGTAAGATACAGTGCAATCCAGGAGGTCACTCTTGAGGGCTCTTTCACAGACCCTCTTGACGTGCATCCCCCATCGCCGTTGTATTTGAGTACTTTATGATTACCAATTTCGCTGTCAAGTACTGAAATGGTCAGGAGGGAACAAAGTTGGAGAACAGTGGTAAGTTGCTGGTAAATGTACAGAGATCGCAAGATGGATGAAGGACTTTAGACACTCTGTTTGGTAAAAAAAAAGAGAAACACACAAAAGTAATTGATCAAGTACTTTTCAACTACATTTGTGACAAAAACGTAATGTTGATCGGTTCTTCCTGCAACTTTCCTCACACTGTCCTTTCCCGAACATCATGTCATCATCAGGTTTAATCCTCCAGTGGGCGTGGTCTTATTTTTGTGACCCAAACATCTGACAGTCATGAACAAGTTAATCCATAAATGAATGCAATTGGAAATAGTGTTTGATATTGCACAGTATGATTTACACTCAGTGCTGTCTAGTTCATTGTCTAACGACTGCTGTGGTAACGGTTTTCAGATTGCAGTGCTCGTTATAGTAAGTGGAAGCTGGCCGTGCAGAAGTCCATGCACTGGGAAGGTGGCGAGACAGCAGCGACTCAGGGTAAGATTTTCATCACAGTGCATTTCGAGCTTGATGCTGAGCCACGCTCAGAATTCACCAGTCCTCTCCACATTTTCACATCTTGCTTGGTCTCCAGCTTCCACCTCCCAATAACCGTACCGATGATATCTTGCATAGGTTAGGTGGTCTCCTGGCAAGCCTACCGCCAGCCTTCTACCTGATGGCAACCTTTGGCATGCTGTGCTTGTCCAAAGTCCTTGCTTCATCAAGAACGTGACAGACAAAGTGGTGTGGAGTCTCACCCTGGGAACCCTCTACCCGTTTGACGTGGGTTTAACTTTTTTCAACTCCCCTCAAACGTACTGTTAATGCTTGTGGCAGACAGAAGGATCATTGGATTCACCCTGAATTTTTAATTGAGTACATTTTAGGGCCTGTTTGTTTCATGCAGATTTGGAGCACGATTAGTGATCCGACGTTGGTTCACTGTAACCAGAAACCACCTAATGGATGGAGCCAACCAGTGATGGGATCGCTGATTGAGATCCAGATCCGTTTGAAACCACCAGGTCCATAGAAGGTCTGTTGAATTTAGGAAGTCAAATGCTTTCTTGCCGTTGGTTTACTACTGCTCTTCCCGATTCTTCCACACTCTTTAGCATTTACATCAAGTAAACGACACCTTAAGAGCCAGGAATCCTATAAACTAATTTGGCGACCGACATTGGAATCCATTACTGCAGTGGCACCATGCTTGTGGGAAGGTGTTACAGGCGTCCTGAATGCCTCTTTCAACCACTGGGGGCACTCTGGCATTTCAGAGTGCATGTGTCAGGATCTTAGAGCGCGCATGTGGGAATGGTGCCACTGTAGGTATGGTGTCTCCTTTCGTCTATCTGACAAACATGTTAATGTCTATGAGCTTGTATTGCGTAGGTTGGTCCTTTCGGATCTCATGGCTGCATACCTCTTGGTGCTGTCACGGTTCTGTAGAAGGCTAAAAATGGTATACCTCAGTTTGGTTTTGGATATTCTTATGTTGCATGTATTCTTATATTAAAAAGACAGTAGCAGTATTACTGTATTCATTTGCATGTTTGTATCAGTTAACATTTTGCTGTCAATTTTACTAGAGATTTCAGTAAATGTATATCTCTAGATTATTCTCTGTTGTGCTGTCAATCAGAGCCTGAGGAAATTTGCGATCACGAGACACACCCAACTTATTTTTTGACTTCAATTTTTGTTGACTTTTAAGTTGTTATTGCTGGACCAGACTTGAGCCATTACAAAAGATGTGACTGCTGCGGGATATTATACCCAGAATAGTAGGTGATATCCCTTAAGACCATCAAAAGACCCCACAAGACCTCGAGTCTGAATTCAAGACACAGCGGGTAATCATATTGCAAAAGCATTCCTTTGCATCCTGTTACTTTTGTCCTGTTTTGCGACTGTTCTTGGTTAAGACTGGTGATGTGAGTGGTCTTGCGACTACTCTTTTGACCGCTCAGTGCCTGGTCTTTTTGTCCGGTCTTGTGCCTGGTCTAGTAACTGGTGTAGTGACTGATTTTGTGACTGATCTTGTCAGCTGAACTGACTTTTTACACAAAACAATTTCTTGGTTGGCACATGTAAATTCACACAAAACAGCGTGGTACACACTCCATTTAATACATGATGCAACCCACGCCGCGTACACACTGGGCCTTGTTTATGACAAGGCCAAATGATCCCCTTCTACTTTATTATAGAGTTTCCCAGCCAATTTCGGAAAATGTGTCAATGAATAAGTAATAGCAGCATTTGTCTTTGAGCGGAATAGAACGAACGTTCAAATCCCNCGTTTCTATTTAAAAAATATCAAACCTGTTTTATCGAGAATGCATTCAGTCGTATGGAATCAGCTTCCAATTTCCTGATTTGCGCTGGTTTAGTATATTGATATTCTTTTTTGCGGGAAACGGAATGCACCTCTGCAATCCTGTATTCATCTTAATTTGAACTCATGCTATTTTGCAAAATATGCTGGCGATTTCGCCTGTGTGTTATTTCAGGAATGCCTGGTCAAGAATTAGAATTCGTTTGTGTGCCAACAGAAGTTACATTCTTAGAAGTGTTTAGTTGATTGGTTAAATATTTGAATATTCATGATTGAAATAAACCAATCATGCTGCCATTGGAAACTACCAATTATTGCAGGAAACCCATAAACACCGGCGCTGAGGGAACCTTCTTTCTTGTGCTGCGTTTCAATCATACAGACTTTTTTATTTTTTTTTTTTACAGTTTGATAACAAACGCGCTGTAAGTGAGTAACATGACATATTTTGTTAAAGTGGTGTTGTGATTTGTGCAACCTTGTATATACATTTTAATCAAATTGAACGTATATTTTGCAGTTTTAAATTATAGCAAATATAAATGAATACTCACTTCCGAAGGGTCACGGTACAAGACAGATTTCCACCGAATAAGTTGGTGTAATTGGCAAGGAATACGTCAATCCGAAATCCAAGTCATGTATTTTTAACCTCTTTAATGAAACATAATGCACGTTCATTTATTTGAAGGATGCAAAACGAAAAGGAAACCAGGTTTTAAGTTGTTTTCAAAATCTACGCTAAATTGAAATATTATTTTACAAATTAGACCGCGCATTTGCCGAAATTGGCAGGGAAAATATAATGCACGTAACCATAAAACGTCATATATATACATGTAGGTACCAAGCACCACTGACATACAAATATACTGAGTATGTTAGAGTAGTTCATGCGTATAACTAAGTAGTGGAATACGTATAATTATGTAAAAGTTGATTTTTCCTTCACCTGTCACAAAGTTTAGTTGACATTTATGTTTTTGTTAAAAGATGTTTCCAAATAAATTGTACCACAGAGCAGTCTTTTCCCACATTTTATAAGCTATTATGCTACAGTTAAAAAGTCAAGAGACTATATTTTGATTCACGCTATGTGTCACACAGTAGAGGCTGTTAAAGGTGCAGCTATCAGACGCTGGTAATATTGTGCCCTCTTCACAGGCCAAGCATTTTGTTCACCATCGTATGCCGACAGTCACTTATGATGGCACCCTGCAGCTGGAATTCCTCCTCAAATCCTGTCTCCAGCTTTCAATCACGAAATGTATGTATCAGGTGGCGCACCAATACATCTACCTACCAGTTGAGTGAAAGCAGCGGAGATGAGTGTCTTTATCCGTGTATCCCACTAAAGGGGTGAAGTGGGTTGGTTATGGGTCTTTTGATTACATCCGCAAGACTGTTAATACGCTGCTGCTTAAGGGCATTAGATTGGAGAATTAAATACATGTCCGAAGCAAAGGAAAGCGGAAACACTTTTTTCTTGCCGAAAGTCAGAATACATTCTGCGCCCAGAGAAATCCTCCTTCTGTGCTGACAATCTGATTGGGAGAGTTGTAGTTGTATTGGCGTTGGCCCTGAGTACCGGCAAGTGCGCAGGACAACATCTTGAACTGGCTGATGGAGACAACTCTAAGAAAAGATGATTCAAGGTCGCTTGGGAAATCAGCGACCGATTACCAAGGCATCATAAAGCCCTACAGTGTCACCTAAATAGTCTGGGGCATGTTTTGGCCATCAAAGCAACAACCAGGAGCATGTTAAGGGTGGCCCACAAAACGGAGACTCATAGACGGAGACTTCATCCGATTGAGGCAAGCTTCTACGTTCTAGAAAAAAAAAATTAAATGCAGAATTCATTGGAAGGGTGACAAAATTCATTCTCTGTTTGTTTTCTCGCCATTTTGAACTGGTGCTATAACCATGCCACTCTAACCTTCAGTTCTCATCTGGTCAGATCAATGACGTTACAGAGGCATAACCAAGTGGTGACAACCAATGGCAGAGGCATAACCAAGTGGTGAAAAGCAATGACAGAAGCTGAAACGAAGTCCAGTTGGGGGGCGCCTAAACACGTCCCTGGTGTTCCCAATAATGTGAAGCCAAATGAATTATCACCATGTTAAAATAGCACATGTTGTATTGCTACTTAAGTTCAATGCACGTATTGACCTTCAACAGTAGAGCCGCTTTCCAAGTAATGAGACTCACTCAAGGAATGACTAGTTGAACCACAAGGCCCTTGGGGAGGAAAGCAGGGCTGGACTGGATGGGTCATGAGGCAGCCTACTGGCCTTATAAGGAAAAGTCAGTGTTCATTAATTTGACTAACCCAGCCCTCAAATCCAAATGAACCAAACATATTCATACACGCTGTATTAATATTCAAAGAATAGTAGCTAATACCTAATAAGGCAAGGAAACTTGTATGATGGATGAAAAATGGAATGTCCAGCAAATGTATAAAATCCCTATGAGTTCTGGCAATTGGGCAGAGAGCCGCACATCGAGCCAGCCGAATAAACCACATCAACTACAGTACAACTTTGTCTCAAGTCGTCCTCGTGTCGATTCTTATAACCTGTCGGGTTATAGAATCCTCCGCTGCGAAAGAACATCATTATTATATAGCTTACCTGCAGTAGTCATTCGCAGCCGTTGAATAGGAACTCAATGCCTTTGTCTGTGATGTCATAACAGCGGAGATAAATGCTTTTTTGGTGAGGATGATTTGATCTGCAAAGCACAAGCAGTGGAAAGGAAACGTGCTGCGATCATTTTGTGACGCACGTATTTGTTGGCCGTTCTACACTCGGGCTTGAGCTTCGGACATAAACGCAAAACTTTGCTGTACCTATACTTTGCAAAAGAACGAAAATCCGAGCGCTTTCTTGACCTCCTTCAAGTCACTATGCAGAACAGTATTGCAGCTGTGTTTACAGACTTTAGCTCGAAAAACGTTTGGCATGAAAACGCTTATCGACAATATTCGTTAAAACGCTGAGACTGGGATGGGGGGCGGGCTTCATGACTTTGAGGTTATGGAGGAAAGATGAACGTATTGGATATGACGACGAAAGTGGCTACCCTAACTCCTATTACAGAGGGAGGTAACAGGTAGAGTGTCAACGATACCTGCCTATACTGGCCGCACTCAGGTAAGGAGAAAACTCTTGATCTCCCTGCACTGACTCCTCAGAGACCTCGGCGTCGAGAGCATACGACTATGGAACCCCATCGAACGTTGCCATCAGATAAGTTGCCGAATTTTCAGTCACTACCTGAGAAGTTTGTCGATGATCTGAGAGACTTTGAAAACAGAATCCTATCTCTCCCTGAACTCCAACCACAACAGTAACCTCGACAGCTCTCTTCATCTGTTTGACGAGCCTCTAAAGTGCCCGATCGTCCTAGCCCTACACCTCACAGTCTACGTCCATTTGGTTCTCCACAAGTCCCTGCTCCTTCCCCACAATACAATCAGCTGAAGAATGTCCCTGTATTCACAGGCCGAGAAGGATCGGGAATAGGTATCAATGACTGGATAAGAGACATTAAGGATCTGATTGTATCTACATCCATGCCCTCCCATGTGCAGTTCTCGACAGTGGTGAAATACCTAGTAGTGCTACCAGAACACTTGTTCTAAACTCGCCATCAGAACAACAGACAGCTGGGTTCGCGTTCGCGGAATTTCTTAGCAATATGGAGATGTTTCACTCCTGGGAGATCCACTGACTGATTTCCATGAGTGGTTTCTATGAGTGGAATTGGAGGCAACTCTTTGCACAATTTTGGAAAGAAACAACAAGGGTCGTCAGCTCCAGACGCGCAATAGAATGCTCACCCAGCAGTTTGTGAGGGGAGTGCAGGATGAAAAGGTGACCCAGTGGCTGGCACCGAAACACGAAACTGAGAGAGATGACGTCCAGAGAATTGCCGATGGACTTACGCCAGATTGCGAGAAAATACAAAACGGTAGTTCTTTTCAAACCCGCAAAGGCTCAAACTCAGTCGGTTCGTTTACAGACAAAGTCTTCACGGGTATTTCCTTCATCCCCAAAAGACGAGGGGACATCGAAAACTACAGTCCAAGATTCTGACGAAATCCAACCAGCAACCAATGTGGTTCTTCAAGATCGTATCTTAATAGTAGGGCAGCTGACAGAGAATGTAGCCTAGATCATCTGCTTGTTTTCAGGAAATTCGCAAATCAAGGAAGACGAGGTCGCAGGGTCTTTGGTTTGGAGGGCTCCACCGGCATGCCCTGCTGCCGTAGGCCGTTGTAGGTTAACGGTTTACTTCTGTATCCTCAAGCGATATGACCCATGATACAATGACAGTTTTCAACTTGGCTGCCAGGCTTTTAGGGCTGGCATCGGTGTTGCCCCGGACTATTTGTGCCGGAAACTCAACAGGATCCAGCCTGGCAATCGACCAATGACCAGGGCAGTATCACAGGATAACTTCGTCCTTCCTAAGCATAAATGTGATCTTTTTAAGAATTACATTTTTAGTTCTAGAGCTTCTGATTTTTAAATGATATTCCTCTCGCCATTCGTTGACTAACAGGCCTGTAGTCTGCTTTTCGGTGGCTGCTGAAAGAGAATGGGATATGAGTCCGACGTTCATGTATTAATCCTGCACTCTGGTAGTTCATCTATAGGCCCTACTTGCATTTTTGGATGGTTATTATTCATTCTTGGGAGAGGTGGGGGCCCTCAATGTTCTCTCAGTGTTTTGTTTTTGTCTTTTTTCTTGTATCTATTTCTTCCCTCTTTTTAAAATATTTTTCTTTTTGCTTGTGTATCTTATTACTGGATTTTAAATGTAAATTCTGAGCTGTTTTTTAATAATGAAGAATCTTTTGTGGATGACTCTGACATATTCGTATATTTGTGGTAATGTTTTTATTACGATTTTATTTCTTTTTTAATTAGGGCCCTAAATGATCAGCTCCTGCTTGGTGGGTTACCCTCAATAACGATGGTTAAATTAAAAAAAAAAGAGATAACTGTCAATCACTCTTGTCCTAAGCCCGACGCGGACCTTGACCATGTATTCATCTGCCATCGCTGTGCACAAGAGGGCCGTTTCGTCTGAGGATACAGAAGTTAATATTAAACTACAACGGCCTACGGCAGCAGAGCATGCCCGGTGCATGGAGCCCTCCAAATCAAAGACCCTGTGACCTCGTCTTCCTCGATTAGCGAATTTCCTGAACACAAGCAGATGGTCGATCCACACAATGAAGATAGAATGGATGACAACGGTGAAAGTTGTAGGCACTGATAGACTCAGGGTCACGGATAACGTCCATCATTGAGGAACTCAGGAGGCGTCACCCCAAACTTCAACACTTCAAACTGACTGCGGTGCAAGTGTGTATTGAGGGTGCAAGTGGGCAGAAAGTCTCTCATCTTGGTATTGTTCCTATTACCTTGACGACGTTTGATGTCGTCTACACTCTAAAATTAAATGTTCTATTTCAACACTTTCCCAATGTTACTACATGAATAACGTTTTAAATGCTACAAAATGGGGCTCCAACCCTTTAAGTTAAACGGAAGCATTTGAAAAATGTGACACGTAACAGTTTGTAAGTGTTAAAGAACCAGCTGAACTAATTTTACATATTAACAATTGGAAAGAGTTGAGCCATGTTCAAGATTATCTGTGGCACGATTCAGAAATCGCACGCAAACGTAACCTGTATGCGGTAGTTATCTAAAAATCTAAAAATGGAGCATTGCATAATCGTCACCATCGGAATTTTGTGATTTTTCAATGTTCATGTTCTCCAAACTGGAGTCGCTGTACTACCGTGGCGAAATTTACTATTGAGTACGCTTATTTTACTTGGTTGGCTACGAGCCAAGGTTTTCGCCGCTCAATTTTGTCGGCTGTAAGCCGTATCTGAAACAGACATTGTTTATGTAGGCCTACGGCTACGTCTGTTCACTCTTCTGAATAAAATGGCTAATGAAGCCGTAGCATTTGTTCAGTGGCTTACAACTGCACGTACGTGGTTCGTGACGTTCGTGACGCGTGGTACGTCTCGACCAGAGATCTTTGGTCTCGGCTTTACTCAACCAGACTGCTGATCGTGACCTGGCAAAGCTAAGAAAGTTGAACACAAAACCTTTGGAGTTCTGTCCAGCACACATTGGGCAGCTCTGCTCGCATGACCTGAAGGGATAGACCCGCTACTGGTCATTCTGTCGGAGGGAGACAAGGACTACTTGTGCTATGTACGTAAGAATATTGTGTACAGTATATGTGAGGCCCGCGGGTGATCATTGTCATTAACGTGCATGCCTTAGGTAATTCAGCCCACGTAGGCCTATACAGACATACATGTAGGCCTAGGTGATTGTGAAGAACTTGTGCTTTAGAAAATGACTTGTGCAGATTCTGAAGATAGGCTTAGACCTAACCTAACGTTAGGCCATGTGTTGTGATAGTGACAGGCTAGGCCTTTAGCCTATCTCTAATGTTATGACTATTTCAACATGCTCCGTCAAGAAAAGTGGCGAAGTTTGGGAATGTTTGGCAACCCCAGCTCTGTTGAGTCATAAAGATGTCCACACGATTGGCTTTTTTTGTTAGGATTCAGGCTAGGCATGCCAAATGTTTGTAGGCTCTAAACTTCAGTAGCCCAAAGTGGAGTTTGAGATCCAGCTGTGTGTATTATTCACATTAGCTATCACTATTTTGTTGTATTTTGTTTTTATTTTTGTATTTTGCAAAAATGGTGTAGTCAGCAAGCAGTTTGCAGCAGTTTAGTTTTACCGTATTTATTTTCTTTTTAAGGGAGCATCTGTAGCAACAACAGCAGAAAAACATCATTATCATCAAGTAGCCTACAACAAAAAAGGTAGGCCTACACAAAGTAAGTTGATGCAATAAGAATCGAAAGGATGTACATTTACTGACATGTACAATGCGGACTTCAATTCCATCAGTAGGATATGCACACAGTCATCAATATACATACACACTTATAATTTTCATCTAGATCCAAACGAGTTTATGAGGTCAAATTGGAACCGAATTTGATTGGCTGTAGTACGCAAAACTGGGCATACATGTTGTGATTGTATAGGCCCAATAGAATGGATAGATAGAATTATCCTGTTTGCGTCGGGTTTGGTGATTCCACATCCCCAGATATGATAGGATAGGATAAGGACCATTTTTGCCGGGGTCCACCTCAAAGACGACAGTACCGAATTTCTTATCCAAAATTTTTATGCTGCCTTGCGGGGTGCCATTAATATATATAACTAAATATTCCCAGTCCCTATGCCAAGGCTATTTGGCGGCGGTCATAATGAGCGTTTGGGGCAATTTCATTCTGTACGCCGTCATGTGCCTAGGTCGTATTTTGATCCAATGGTAACATCCCCAAAGTTTAATTAACACAACAAAAATTTCTTAAAAGCGCTTGCCGAGAATCAACGTTTTACACACGAGCATAATCCAGTCACAATATCCAGCTTCACCATAAGATATAACCACTATTGACCTTGCTTATAAACGCGCTCTGGGGACTCGCCACCCACGATAATCATGATACCAGCTGATTGGATAAGTTTCGCTCGATATGCATCATGCAGTTTGAGCTGTTATTAGTAACAGTCGCGCAGTACAGTGATGCCTCAAAGCAGGCAATGATGGAGGTGTAAATTGTGTTTGGCGTGTCGCAACGACCGGAAACTAAACAATGGTGTACGTATGGCATGGAACAGTTCATGAAATAAAGCCTTCGCAGATTGCAGCCTTTTCTCATCATCAGAGTTACCATTAAGGTCGTTGGCGGTGTATTCTTTGACAGTTACCCAACTGAAAGCCAAGCGGTGTGCCAAGTTTATGGGTCTCTGGCGCTGTTTTACGGAGTCGAGTGCCTCTTGTAGGCTTACTTCATGCCGATGAAAACACCCAGAGCCAAGGAACTCAATGCGGATTCCGCTATAGATTTTTGATGGATTCGGTGTGGTTGGACTGCAGACTCGCTCTTGAAAGGGACAGCAGTCTTTGAAATCTTCTGCTTCCTAATAGATTAATAATAGATACTGAATATAAGTCATAAGTAAATTATGCGGTAAAGCTACATCATCCTGCTCTAAGTTAATGACTATTTCCATCGACCAATCAGAATAAAACCAAATGATGTAAACCATGACTAATACCAATTTCCTATAAAACTGCCACTCCTTCATTTCAAAGAAATATTATTCCATGAAAAAAGGAAAGGTATGGGTGCACTGGCCTCCCCGCCCCCACATTCCAAGTAACTAGCCAACTTTTATCAATGGGTCAACTGGCCTTGATGAACCTCTGGTGTTTGACTCGTTGATCACTACACTTTTCTGGAAAATTAAAGGTGCATCCTGTATCCCACCTGTTCACAGAATCCGAACATTGTCACAGGGTGGTTTTGGATTTTAGGAAGATGCCAAACAAGGTGTCTTCTTTGGGAACAAGACTGATGTCACAGTAAAGCAAAGTGTGATCAGCCCAAGCATTTGGGTAATATTTTGCCTCTGTTATTTTTGTACTTTCATCAACATAGACCTCCCTGGGATGCTTACTGATGACCAGAAAGAGTGTACTCAAGATGACGTGAAGACGAAAGATTCCTGGCATTGGTGAGCGAGTCTATCTTTCACAGTGATGAGTCACTAGTGATGATCGGTCTATCAAAAAATAAAATATAAAACTACCTGAAGAAAAGGTCTGTTGAAGTCTAAAGCGAAATTAGAGCCTTAAAGGAAACTGTAGGGATGCAGGTAAATCAATGGTCACAACAAATGGTCAGTGTGAATGATAAAGAGTAAAGGCTATGCTGAGTAATTCCCACCGGAAGACTTACATTGGACTGGACGCTGAGTGTGAATATTCCACATCATGTTTGCTATCACCCACATAAGTCTGAATTAATTAAAAAAGAGGGGTCGCCGATAATGCCGCGACAGTGTACCACGTGCAGTCCATCGATGAAGACATTTCTTCGATGCTCTGTTGGTTTGAGGGTCCAACATTACTGTCCAACGAGACATAGAATGCCCTTACAAAAGACACACGTCTGGTCATCTACCTGATAATGATGTTGGAGCGACGATGGCTCGGTTGCTAACAGGCGACATGCCCGTTGCTTGACCAGAGACGGGGGGGGGTCGTCAAACCCAAAAGTGCAACTTTTGGCACTGTGAACACATATTTTTATACAAAGGCCTATCTTAATGTGTTTTAAAACACAATACCAACAAGTTCCATGTTTGTCGCGAACCGAAGGATACATGTAAGACTTGTATAGGCCCCATACTTCAGTTTTCAAGTTCATAGCGTATCGTAAATTGGCCTGGTAGGGCCTACATGAATTTGCTCTTCACCAGCACGTTGAATCGGGCGCTCGGTGATGAGCGAGTGATATGAACATTATTATTTTCAAAATCTCAGAAAATTTCACACAAACATTTAGAAGTTCAAAAAAGCGATAGTAAATCATTATTACCTCCACTCGTCTAACTAAAAATTGGGGGGGGGGTTCATTTCATTTTGCACTTCGGGTAAAAATCGGAAAATCGAACCAACATAAAATGTCATCGGAACTTTGTAGCGGTTATGTGATATCGACATTAATCAGAATATTCGGAGTTTGATTAAATTTCACCTTTTTTGAAACTGGAGGTAAAATATTGCTACACACACAAACTTTAAAAGCGAAAAGTGCCCATAGGGTCCGCGCCACTCTCGGGTACGCATTCTTCAATTGTTACGTGAAGCTACGCGCGAACGAGTGTTTTCATTAAACCTAAACTCTCTGAAGTCCTCGAAATTACCAATTTTCGTGGGCTGGATTAATGTCCTTGCTGGGTGGGTCATACAGCAGTTCTTTTTTTTAATTAGTAACCAAAAACAGTATAATGATAAATAACATGGATTACACAACCGTAAAAGACAAAAACGAACAGACGTACCACACAATTTGTGCGGTGTGAACAATACTTACAGGACATTTACAAGTCTATTCAATCTTTCTAGCCTGGTTTCCTTCATTTCTAACACATGAGTAGAGCCAGCGTAAAAGGCAAGCAATGAAAACATGACTGCCTTTTCCCCGCGGCCGGAACGCTGCGTCGCTGGTAGGCCCTAAGCGTGGCTGGCCGGCTGGGGCAGCGACCCAGGTTTAATAAGCTGCATCGGGCACGGCGCGGCGTTTAGTGACTGATTTCATTCTTCAAATGTTGCCGTATAAGCCGCCCGAATTTCAGTATAAACTGCAGAGCTGTTTTCAACGTGAGAAACAGAGTATTCATGAGGCTTATGGTCCGAAAATTATGGTAAAAATTATATATTTATTGAGAGAAAGAGAGAAAAAAACTACCAACGAGCGGAACTCGGAGACGAGCGGGGGGGGGGTGGGTTCGTTTGGTCTATTGTCTATCTTGTGACGCTCTCTTCACCGGTCTTGTTTCGAGTCTAAACTTATTCTGTGACTTGGCGTAATCCTGTGTCTAGTTTTTTGATCCAGTTTGACTTTGTGCTTACTTTTCTGTCTGGTTTTGTTTGTCCCAGGTCTGGTAACTGGTCTCTTTACTGATTTTGTGACTCAGCTCATTACATAATGCGAACTACTCTACGTGCACACTACTTTAGTTTACTCATTCAAACATATTATATTTCATATAGACTTCAAAACACGTATTTGCTGGTTTGGAGAAGTAGATAAAAATTAACAATATGTTCCTCTGATTTTGCAGGATAACCTTATTTCTAACAACAACCTCCTGTAATGAAGAATGAAAAACATGTGATGGAGACATTCAAATTTCCTCCTGAAAAGCAGAACATTGTATTAATGGTGCTCTGGGTAACGATGTGGCTCGAATGTAGTAAATAAGTAGTGGGATACGGGGCTATGTATTCCCCCGCCTTCCACACACACTTTTTTGGCCATGGGAATGGACTATTAATTTATCCCTACTTTTTCGTAGTGAAAAAATAAATAAAGCGGATTGTGAAGAATTCCCCGGACTTCCCAACAACCAACATGTATTCAATGTCACTCAAAAGGAAAACAATCAAAAACAGGGACAAATATGTGGTGTGATGTACGAATCTGCATGAAAATAATCTATTAAAGACGTACACAACACGAACATAGCTTAGTATTTAGTGTCACATAGTGTCAGCACCCCTCTCCCACCCACTTTTCAAAACGTGGATGTGCGGGCAAGGCTCCCTCCCCCCATTTCCCTACCCTTATCCCCCCTCCCAATTTCCTGCCACGAATTCCACTGGTTACAATTAGCCTTTGTCAAACTTGATTCTGTTCAAAACTTATTAATATTAGTTAAATGCTACCCCAGAACATTTACAATCATTACAGCATGCATACACCTGTTTCCTTATGCAACAAGGCTATATTAGGCTACAGTTAGGTTTCAGAGCTGTTATTATTCACACTAGGCATCGTATCACACATCACAAGCTGGTAAAAGTGTGCCTCTTCACGGGCCGAGCATCCTGTTCACCGTGATGTGCTGACAATCACCTTGGATGGCCCCATGTGGCTTGAATTCCCCTTCAAATCCCTTCTCTCCAGCTCTCAAGCACGAGATGTATGTATCAGGTGGCGCACTAACACACCTGTGTACAAGAAATAAGAGCAACCAAGGTGATATTTCTTTATCCACAGATCAAAGGCAAGGGGTCAAATGGCTAGATTATGGTCCCTTCGACTACAACTAGACAAGCCTGTTGATATACCCTAATGGAATAAGACTGGCAAATTACACACAAGGCTTTTTTAAATCAACATCCAGAGCAAATGTCATAGGGAAAATTTTTGTCATTGGTGATGATCAAAAGGCATTCTGCTTTTGGGCATGTTATTTGTGCTGAACATTTCGAATCCTTTGATACACGACATCACATCAGCAGCTCTGAAAGTGACTGTTTCATGAATGGGTTCACGAGGGTCAGCAGTCAAAGATTATGACACCGCATTTTTGCTCATCCACTGGAGGGGGATTAAATTCAACGGTGAGAAGCGCACAGATGAGGCCCTAGCGTACATGCATGTACAGAAAAGAAACAATAAATCCCTTGTTAATGTGTTATGTATTATTAAATGCCTAAACTATTCTCTTCGTAAAACATTCAATATGCCTGTCTCAGTTTCAATGTATCATCAAATATACGCATACGTGTACTGAAAAGTAGACATCATGATACGTTTCATTCTTTATTGTTCTGCTGAGCTGCCAATCGGCAATCCAGTCACTTCTTTTCCTCGTGGAGACTAATGCTGCAACCGACTTTGTTGTCTTAAAGCTAGGTCTAGGTTTTCTTTCCATTGCTAGCACATGCCCTGACATTAGGTCCGGCCGTAGCTATGGAAGCCCGTTTCGAACACTGCCTAAAATAAACTAGAGATGGCTTTGCTCTGGTGGCACCACACTCATGTTGGCAAGTCACAACTCCCTCTTGCTCAAACACTAAGGCGCACAACCTGCTCGTTATAGCGTTTTGCCAACGGGGTAGTGCTTCTTATCACCTGCAATAATCGTCTCTGCCATCGCCATCTTCGTCTTTCATGTACCACGTGTCCGTGTGACCCAGGTCAAGCCAGGTCTCCGGATTGGGAGAATCGTAGTTGTATTGGCTTTGGCCCTGGGTACCAGCCAAAGCGCAGGACAACATCTTGAATTGGCCGATTGATACAACTCTGAGAAAAAAAATTGATACGTTATTGTGACAAAGAATTTTACCCACAGCAAGAATTGAACAAGCCACCCAAAACGCCAAACCAACGACCGACCAAATCATGCTTTCTGGAAGTCCTTCAGTTTGTTGAAGTACGGTCATTTGCAGAAGTTTAGGACCACCCATAGAAAATGCAATAACCTGAAGGAAAACCAAACGGAAACAATCAATCATGGCAACTCATCTTTATTTTCAGTGTGTAACCTTGAACCTGGGTTGAACATTTGTGACTACATTTCCATGATTTGAAATGATAACAGTCTAATATTCAGTGTTCCCTCCTTTATTTCTGATTGCTTAGACTGTTTTTTTACCCATGCTGCCATACAGAAAATAATGTTATACAAGACCTGCCTTTGCAAAAAAATTCCATTCGAATGGGTATATAGCACCACACTGATGTTATGCATCTCTGTAAATTCATGTTAAGTAATCATTCAATGAGACAATGTAATCTTGCCCAGTGGCAGAAATACCAATAAAATTCAAGATGGTCTTAAACTTTTGCAAATGAGTGTAACTCTAGGCTTTGCAGTTATAACTATAATGGATGAGATATTTATGAACAAGTCTGCCTAACATCCAAGTACGGGGCTCTGGACGTGCCATCCGACTTGTTGAAACCCTTGAGATGACGACAGAATACAGGCACGATGTGGACATCCTGAGATTATTATGGGAAAACGACTTTCTAAAGGTTGGATACGACATACCGAGGTAATTATTACCTGACTTTACATTACCAGCAAGTGTAATGTCTACTTCACTACTTGTCACACGATGTCATCATCTCAGGATGTCGCCATCATATTATAAGTTATCTCAGGATGTCGACATCTTGCCTAAAGGATGTCGTCAGGGACTAAATAAGTCAGATGGAATTTCCAGAGCTCTGTATCTAAGCTTTTAGGTGGCTGCGGTGTAACAGGGTAAAAACGGTGTAAAATATCCTTTTCCAACGTCTAGTAAAAGACGATTCTCAATCAAATGCAATCCAAAAGTGTTCATCACCTGTGTTCAGACCAAAAAATGACCTCAGGTTGTAGGTTGTAACGAAAGTTGCTCAGTGTATACGGTATTTCATGTAAACCCTCTGCAGCTATGCCTGGTCATAACTTGCCTGCAGTAATCGTTCGCCGTACCCTGTCCCTGCACGTCAACCCAGCCATAGAATAGGTACTCGATGCCTTTGTCTGTGATGTCGTAGCGGCGGAGGTTAATGCAGTCTCTTTTGGTGGGGACCATTTGTTCTACAATTGAGACTAAGCAATGAGAGAGAACCATGAGAGAGAACCATACGTTGGACCTGAAGGACAGTCATTGTACGAAGTTTAATCCTATTTTGATTCCTGTTGCACGTTTGGGCGCTAAGGCCAACTTATTTGACCAAAGATGGAGACATCACTCTCTGAAACCACATTTCAACACGGTGACTTCGGCTGCCTTTTCAGGACTAGTCTGTGTTTAAAAGTATAGCCATTTGCCTAGACAAGAAATGCTTACGAATGAATGTTGCTAAAACAAATAGCATATCTAGTGACTTAAAGGTAGGGGGGACACAGCAGGCGACTGTGACGTCTACGGCGATAGCATCTACAATATTATGCATTATATTCCATTTACGTAGTATTGACATCGTGTGCAATTAACTAAACCATCGAGATTTATTGTTTGCTTCTGTCTTTGCATGCGATATCTGGCCCAAAAAAGGCTTTCTTGATGAGACTGGTGAGCTGTGCCATGACAGTCCTTAAATTTGTTTTGTATATACTTCCGTTTTGGAAACAATCTTTTTCATCCAAAAACATTTGCTGAGGCCTTGTGGAGCTAAGACTTCGGTTTCGTCTACTTGGATTGCTGCTTATGGTGACGAAAAGAATCATAAATCCTGACAGTGTACGACCAAAGAAAATCTATGTTATGTGATTAGTGGTTAACAAAAACCCGGAATCAAATCCGTAGAAGAAACTGACACTGAAAAGTTGCCTTGGTAAACTACCTTCAGGTTGGTCGTCGTCGTCGAATGGCAGCTTGTCGCAGTTGATCTCCACTGGCCATTCAAAGCCAATCCTGGTAGCAGCCTCGGTGCATGCACTCTTCACTCTGCGACATAACTGCTGCGATGGAAGATTGCTGTCCCACATTCTGTCGTACCACTGAAGAGCAAAAGAAATACTAGGTTCATTAGAGGCTGAAAATATATCACAGTTCAAAAACAGCTAGTTCCTTTGAAGATAAGTACAATCCAATACAGACTACCACATATCCAACGCATCACGAAGACTGAAATAGGCACTTTGATAGTCTTGCCATCGAGCCACCGGAGTGCAACCCCAGTCTTAAGTTACTTTTTTAAATTATTTAATCAATTAAATGTAAGCATTTCACTCAATTTAATTAAATGAAGAAGGTGATCTAAACCTCTTTTTTTCCATAATTCATATTCAGTCAAATGAATATATAACTCAGTTTAATTAAAACAAACATTAAAACTGTCTTGGGTTTATCATAACGATACATTAATCTACAGACAATGTGTGATTTACGGTTAGCCATAATCCAGAAAATATTATTTCTCGTAAAATATGGCATTAAACTTCACGCGTATGTGAAATAGAAATTGAGTTATTAAAAAGCTAATGAGACTCTTATGCTCCACCTTAAACAAGTAAGCAATTTGTATACAAATTTGTGTGTGACTTGGTTCATTTTTAAGAGAATACTTCGATATCATGCCAAATGTATAATGCCCTGACATCAGATTTCTACCGAAGAAATAAAGATAGTACTGTTTAGTACTGAGTATTTGTCATGGGGGGGACTCCATTGCGTTGAGGTGACGGTGGAGTGTTTCTCTTTTCGTATCTGCACTACACATGCTATCTGTTCCCATGACGAACAGAAATTTTAATAAACTGGATGAAAAATGAGAATTCATACGACGTCATAATATCTTACTCCCGCGACAGAGTTTAGAAGAAAAAAAACCTGATAATGGTCAGTCGAATGAAGGAAACGTTGAGTCTTAGGTTGGAATAGAGAATGGCCAAGATTGTCCACAAAATTATTAGCTTAAGGAGACAATCATGAAGACCGACAACAAGTGCATGTACTGGTATTGGCCAAAGTCATGCGGAAAACTACGCACAGCCTATGCAAACAAAATTACCTTTTGTAACTCAACTCAAACAAATTGCCTTTATAGTTTTGATTGTTTCTGTCGTATTATCCGGCCGGCTGCCGGGTAGGTTTCTGCACTGCAAGTGCAAGGTTCTCACTGATACGACCGTAATTAACAGACGACGACACTGCCTCTGTCGTTTGCTCTACAACTGACAAAATCTTTATTGAAGCTCTCCTCAATAAAATAGGGTTGAGAGGCTGATAAACTGATCATTGAGTTGACGGACGGATTGGATGGTCTATGCTTGGACGACATGCCCAGGCTGCAAGGGGGTATTTAAGGTCTTCACTGAGGGGCCACGGGGATGGAATTTCAAGCCCCACCGGGTCTGCATCACCTGATCCAGGGCTAACCGCCGGAGAAAAGGCCAGCCCCGCCCCAACAAGGACCTGCCACCCAATGTCCAGGCCTTTGATTCTGGCCCAATATCCCAGATTGCAGCTTTTCAGAATGGTGGCTCTCAACCCCCGTACAAGAGAGTGCCCCAACACCGCAGCCGTACTTCACCCACACACAACACCTTAAACAAACCCCCACCCACGAGACTAGACCATCACACCTTTACCAAGGGCGAGTGGAAGCAAGCCCGCCTCCGAGACCACCCCAGAGCTGCGATAACGGTTTCAGTCGACGGGTGAGCCCTGAATGGACAGACCAGCCCATCCACAGCTGCGAACACCCAGCAGAGGTATCTGCGATCGCAGACACAGGTGCACAATCGGACTTACGGTCACTGGCAAACTTCTTGGCTTGCAGATTCTACCGCGACGACTTGAACCCTGTTAGCCTAAGCCTTTAAGCTGCCAATCGCTCCCCAATTCCGATTGAAGGGGCATTCTTCGCCAAGCTAACAGCGCACCCTCGCAGTGGTGGGACGGCAACGTACCACTCGGTCGTCTACGTGAGTAGCTCTGTAGACGCCATGTATCTGTCGTACGAAACGATACTCAACCTTGACAACGTTCCCAGTGTCAGTGAGCAAGGCCAGGAGCGTGATCCTAGTGACTCAGGCACATCTTGGGATCCTCCACCCACGAACACCTTGCAATCCATCAACGACAGATGCCGGGCACCTTACATCCTACCGGACGCCATGTGCTCATCCCCCCCCCCCCAAACTCCCCCATCACGCCCAACCGAGCTGCCGTTCTCATGTACGGTTGAAAACAACAAACGAATGAAAGCTTGGCTACTCGACAGATATGGCTCGTCCACATTCAATACATGCCCCCACCAAGCATTACCATGTATAGACGGGCCCCGGTAGAGATACACATTGATCCAGCAGCCACACCAAAGGTCTGCCACACCCTGGCTAGCACCCGTTTGCACTGGCAACAGCAGGTACTCGATGACCTCCTCAACGACGAAGCCCTTGGTGTCATAGAACGTGTGCCATACGGAGAACCTGTCACGTGGTGCCATTGCATGGTGATTACGCGAAAGCACAACGGCGCCCCCCCCCGTCGGACAGTTGATCTTTCGCCGTTGAACAAGTTCTGTAAACGGGAGACACTCTCCACAGAGTCACCCTTCCAGCTCACTCGTCGTATTCCGAAGGACACTCGGAAATCAGTCAGGGATACGTGGAACGGCTACCATAGTGTCCCCCTGCGCGAATCCGACCTTCATTGACTGCCTTTATCACACCTTTCGGTCGCTGGCGCTACACGAGGGCACCCCAGGGTTTCTCGTCATCAGGAGACGGGTACAATCGACACTTTGACGCCATACTATCGACCTTCGAACGCAAGGAACGCTGTGTTGACGACAATATCCACTTCGACACTGACCTGGAACAGCAGTGGTGGCGGACCATCGACTTGCTCACACGGCCAGGCAGGCTCGTGCTGAACCCAGACAAGTTCCAGTTCGCCGAAAAAAGTGTAAATTTTGCCGGATTTAGGGTGTCCAACTCTACTATCAAACCCCTCCCCAAGTACCTTGACGCCATCTGAGACTTCCCTACCCCATGCTCCACGACGGATATCAGAAGTTGGTTTGGTTTCGTCAACCAGGTGGCCAACTACGCCCAGCTTCGCGACACAATGGCCCCATTCAAACCATTCCTCAGCCCACGCTGCAAATTCTCATGGACCCCCGAGTTGGAAGAGACTTTCCAGGCGTCCGAGGTAGCCATTGTGGAAGCCTTTCGCCAGGGCGTGTAGATTTTCGACATAAGGAGGCAAACGTGCCTCCGCCCGGACTGGTCGAAGCGTGGTATCGGATACTTCCTCCTCCAGCAACATTGCAGCTGCACATCCGGCATGCCTGACTGCTGCACCGGGGGATGGAGGATCACCCTGGCTGGCTCCCGTTTCTTATCCTCCGCGGAGCAACGCTACGCAGCCATTGAGGGGGAAGCTCTGGCCGTTGCCTGGGGCCTCGAACAGTCATGGTACTTCACCGAAGGGAGCGACAACCTCATCGTGGTCACCGACCACGAGCCACTTGTGAAGATCTTCGGAGACCGCACGCTGGATGAGATATCCAAATCCCGATTCTTCCGTCTCAAGCAACGCACCCTCCCATGGCGCTTCGAAATCAAGCATATGTCTGGTAAGAGCAACCATGCCGCCGACGCAGCATCAAGGCACCCCTTCCCGTCCAACTCAGCGACCGACTGCCCATTGGAAATGTCAGGCCGTCCCGACGTTGTCGAGTCAGCTTTGATGACCTCCATCTGCAATGAAGCCCAAGAGCTCGGCTTGATCTCATGGCCCCTCATCGTACAAAAAACTGCAGCAGATGCATCCCTAGGTCACCTTTTACAGCGGATTGAATGCGGATCCCTGCCACCCAACCGCGATGACCCTAATATTGCCAACCTCGGGTCCATTGCCGAGTCCTTCAACGCACACGAGGGCGTCCTGTTATACCAAGATGGCGGTGTGGTCCCGCCGTCCCTTCGCCGTCGTGTCTTAGAGAGGCTCCACGCAGCTCACCAGGAAATATCTACAATGGAACAGCGTGCCCGCGCCATTTTCTATTGGCCGGGGATGTCGAGGGGCATTCGCAAAACCCGCGAGTGATGTACCGATTGTAACCGGAACGCCCCCTCACAAGCCGCCACACCGCCACTACCATCGCCACCACCAGCGTCACCATTTCAGGCGATATTTGCAGACTTCTTTGATCACAGAGGTGGCCACTATCTCATTGTAGATGATTGCCTTTCAGGTTGGGTGGACGTATACAACTCAAAAGCAGGCCCCAGCCTTGGTGGGTCCGCTGGCCTAGTCCGCCACCTTCGGTCATTCTTCACCGCATTCGGTGTACCAGAAGAGATCTCGAGCGATCACGGCACGGAGTTTACGGCTACCCATGCAGAAGACTACCTCCGTCTATGGGGAGTCAGACACTGCTTGTCCTCAGTCGGCTTCCATCAATCGAACGGCAGAGCAGAGGTCGCGGTGAAGACGGCCAAACGTCTGCTGAGGTCCAACACGGGCCCGACCAGCAGCGTCGATCACGACCGCTTCATGCGTGCAACGTTACAGCTACGTAATACACCTGATCCTGACTGCAACCTCTCACCAGCGGAGATAATATTCGGCCGTCCGTTACGAGACACACTCTCCTTCGTCAACCGACTGGAGAAATCCCCAATCTCCACATCCCCCCCATGTGGCGCCAGGCGTGGGAGGCGAAGGAACAGGCTCCTTGTCCCGGCCACTTTGACTCAAGTGAAGTCTAAGGCATCAAAACTACAATTGATGAATTGGGTCACTACAACACCGAACAAACACTGTGTCAGAAACTCAATCATATTGTTACCTTGAACTATGTCCACTGGGTCGGCTTGGAAGCTATATTCAATTCAAAAGAAATTCTAAAATATGTTTCCACTTAAATTAACTCTGAAAGAGCCCAACCCACAGCCCTCTCCATCTCAGCATGCATGTAAAGTTCGAAATCAAGCAGATGTACGTTTATTGTTAAGGTCATTTGAAGTTTAAGTCTACATGTGTGCCAGCTCATTTGCATCGAGCATTGTAGTTTTGAAAATCATTTTTGGCTAGCCTATTTCAGAAAAAATGTGCACTGCAAAAGAACAGTATATGTTTTAACAATACTGTTGTACAAGTGACTGCAAAAAGTGACTCTTTAACCTTGAAGGCCCTGACCCCGAAAATCAAATACACAGTAGCAAAATCAGAAAAAAAATAATTAGGGAGGCGGAATCCTTCCAGGCTCTTTTAGGGTTAAGGCGGCAAATCTGACTTGAACACTCGTCTACATGTAGTTGATCAGAACCAATGGCATGCCATAGGCTATTTAGATTTAGTACACGCCGTCTTGATGAAAAGAACCAGCAACAACAACCAGGAAGGATTTTACAAACCTTTTTAAAGCTTAGGCCTGTAACGGATAGGGGTTCAGCCCGGTATGTGAAAATCGGAGAACAAGAAGAATAGGCGAATATAATAGCACTGTACCCGATTACTCGACAAAACAAACTAACATAGACATCATTAGTACATTCCGGGGCGTAGAGGGCGCAAACCAGCTCCAAGAGATCAGGCGAGCATTTGGTGCTCAGCAGAGGAAGGAAGTGGTAGGAAGAGACCTCGGCTTGGTATTGGGAGGTGTGACCGAGCACATCAGGGGACTGAACGAAGCCGGTACGTAAGAACGGAGCGCACAGAGTGTGGTTGAAAGATGGGATGCATCTTACTGAAATGTGAGAGAAATGAACAATGAAAAGCACAATTAGTTGGACACGAAGTTTTAACAATTTTACAGCACAGTAATTAAAGGGAAACTCAACCCTCCATTTTACAAACAGTATGATGAAATATTATCCTTTCAAATGTCATCAGTAGTATAACTTTCTACGTTTTAGTTGAATGTAAAAAAATGGCTTCTTGTTTCCTAACGTCTCTATACCGTGCGCACAGCGCTGCATTATTACTAAACTCTCGAAAATCCGACGTAATATCCACACCAGACAGAAACCGTGAAGCATCAGCATTGTGTACTAGTGCCTTCGCTGATGGTGGGATGTCCTGGTGTCCATTTGTATCTATTAAGGATAGCATATCCTGGACTGATCCCCGTCCCTACATGTATTACACAAGGACCAGTAGCTAGCTGGCTTCTCGGGTCCGTAGTCGGTTTAGCTTTGCATCTGCTTAATTGCCCCTTTATGATGTCTTTTAAGTGCGTGACAACTGAACAAATTCTCTTGGGGAATTCCCAGAAACATTTTTGTCCTATTTAGGAAATCTATATGACAGCATGTAAGGCGTTCGGTTGCTCAAGTTATCCTGATTCCCAAGCCAGTGGAATATTGTCTTTTCATCCAAGATCCAAGCAAGCTTCCCGAAATTTGCAAGCATTGGATCCATAACATAACAACTCGATTTCAAACCCGTTTGTGCCCAGTAAGGCGATCTTCTTGTGTGATTAGTATGATGCTTCTTGCTGCTCGTGAATGACAGCGCGTGGCAAACGCGTAGGGACACGACCAAGACTAATGCGGACGTGTTTGGCAAGTGTTGACATAACGCTATAAAATCCCACGTGCAGTGGAAGCTTGAACCTCATGGCAGCGCTCTTGTGAGTAAAAAACAGAGCTTTTTAAATACACCTGATATATAAAAATGAAATACAACCATAATTATAAACTTTGAATTCACTGACACGTTATTTTAAAGAAAAAAAACATAATCCAGTGCCGGAATTGCCTTCCAAAATGTCAAAACCATTAAGTCCCTATAACTGTTTACCTACCAAGTGGCCGGATGATGGTTGTTCGAGGCAAATTTCCCCCAGCTGACTTGCACGTGTAAGTGCCAGTGTCTTCCAGACGAACCTTGTCGAAGTAGAGCATTGTCAACCTTGGGGAAAGCTGCATGACACGCCCCCCTGACAGCAGATGACCTGCAGAGTCCGAAACTGTTGTTGTGTCAACTCGTTTTCCGATTTGTACTTGCCATAATTTTGGATTCAATAACAAGGACATGAGAGCAAAATCACTGGTAGAATGGATTTGTATTATGGGTATGGTATAAAACAAATTAATGAGTTTTGCTGCCAAGGACTACTGGTACTTCGAGGACACACCAAAAACTGTGCCAGCACTGCATACATAAGTGTGAACCTCTGCACAAAAGAAGTACAGACAATGTAAGGTGATACGACCATGGACGTATATAAAAGAAAACCCCAGACTTGTAACGCCGTTGTATGAAAAAGAGGCGGCATGTGGGTGAAGCCAACATAGAATAGTAAAGTATGTTATATTTAATGTGATACGATGTCCTAGAAGTATTGATGATGCATGATATTGACACTGTTATTAACATGGAAAGTGTGTGATTGAGCATGGACGGGTGTGTTGCTATGCGTTGATAAAAGCACAACCGGTCGCGGTAGCACAGTCATTATAATATTGGTATCGATACCGGTAGTGTATTGCTGCCGACATTGATATTGTCAGTGAAGTGTCATCGGCATTGGCACTAACATGGATGTCTCTGGTTGGATGTGATGCGGTGCCATAACATGAGAAAGAAAATATATACATCGGAAGTTAGTTGAAATCGTAGTTGCCAGTTGGCATTTCGATAACTTTAAAAACCGAACGATTCATTTTCGACTTATTGAATGCTTGTCTCGAAAAAACGAATGGATGTCTGATTGGCAAAGTGTGAGCTTGGGAACAATAAACATAACGTTGCATCAGCCTCATTAGTCAATTTAATGAAAGCATTTGCAGTGCAGGATGGGCACGTACCAGAGGGTAAAGTCGGTGGGATGAGTTCGCCATCAGGACCGTAGAACTCTGGCGGTGATTCCGGCGTCTCTTCCTCTACTAAGCAGTACACCCTCACGCGCTCATCGAAAAATTGAAAATCATCTCTGCGAATAGAAGCCTCTGCAGAGAATGACAGATATTTTCTGGTAATCTCCGTTCCTGAATCGTTGGACTTTTTAATAATTGTTTTAATCTCTCTGGCATCATTGTCCGGTGAGTCTTTGACGTGTCGTGCCTGCTTTTAGTTGACTAACCTCAACGGGAACTTAGCCATGGTTAATGAGATCCTGCGGAAGGAATCTCCACACTAGGTATGTGAGGTAAGTGCTGATGCGCGGGGTTTTTTGGGGAGGGGGGCTAGCTAAAGTTTGGTAATAATGTCGTGCTGCAGTGTGACAGCAAACTTCTGCAGCGTGATGCCACCGTCACACTTCTGTATCATAATGCCCATTCTGAGTTGTGTTGGAATGGACACTAAACGATCGTATTCATAAACGTAATTTAACACAATTAACGTGTTGGACAGATTGCGAAAAAGAACGCTTTGACTTAGACTCTTGAAATACGACGTAGCAAGAAATGCTGATGACACTTGTGGCGACGTGTTAGGGGATTTGGACAGTTGCTATGCCTGTATATAGTGACTTCTAGAAAAGGGGGATGTCCTTGCCCGGTCTTAAAAGAGTAGGCTTTATGCTGTCTTTGGAAGCATTTGACAAAGCATAGTGACCTGAGTGGAATGTTAAGCACATACTTTTCCAATTCATAATTAGCTTTTTTAGCTTTAGTTCCAGCCTCCCCCCTTAGAAATTTCTGGATCACGCCCTCCGTTTGGAAAATCCTGGATCCGCACCTGGTCACACAATATGTAAGCGACGGGCACATGAAATGTCGGAGACCATGTTCCTTAAAATGATTATGCATAGCGTGTAATCCTAATTGAAACACGCACGTTTCGTGAAATTTCTTGTTGGTGTCAGCATGCCTTGACCGATATTCTTCAAACAATTGCGTTAGTCCAACGCTTTAGGCACGTCGATAGCATCTCGGACATGTCTGTCCAACGCACTCACACGTCAATAACGTGTCCTGCCGTGACATTCAATGTCTCTTACCGCGTACATAGGCCTACTGTTGCTGTATGCGTCGCGTTTCGGACGCTATTTCATTTATTGATTTTGCAGGTAAAAGGTTACAATTAAACCAAATGAACAGACATGTAGATGTATAAAGATTGACAAGAAAGAGAGTGAAGCAACACCCCCGCAGGATTGCAAAAAGACAAAGTAAATTGCTGTCAAGCTGCTCCCGCCTTTGTGTCACTTAAACTACACAAAGAAACAAATACGTGTACTCGTATACTGCGCGTTGAAAACAGGAAATGAAAAAGATAATAAACATGACCTACTAAAATGAATAAAGTGAAAACTCCATCAGTTTGCAGCCAATCAAAAGAACAACGTGCAGCTTGACCGCGATGGCACCTGGATACGAGACAGTTACCGTGATTGGTCACGAGTCCGCGTCTACGCAGCTAGCCACGCGCGGGCCAAATCGACCGGGAATATACCATAAAATGGAGTGGTTTGGGGAAAATGAAAGTACAATTCTAAAACAAAATCTTTGGAAATCCATTATACATTGATTTCTTTTGACTCTCTGACTAAAAAAGAAATTTATGGCTGTTTATAAATATGTGCTTGGCCGATCTTAAACTAACGTTGAAGATGCGGCTCGGGCATTAGTCATTGGAGAAATAAACTTACCAGATGTCATCCAATCAAATTCTTTGATACAGCGTGAGGAATCTGCCTTGGACGAAAAGCGATCGCATGGCAAAATCCCCAGTAGCCAGTTAAGTTGATCGCCGTGTGACGAGGCGTTGCATGCGCTACGAACGCTCGTGCAGAACTCCCGACAAGGCCTTTGGAGCCCCCACAGATACGATGAACACCTGCTTCAGGAAGAAATAATCCTCTTGTGAGCGTGTACGGATCGTTTTTCCCCAAAGCATGACAATAATTTCAGCCCAGACTTCGAACCAGTTTCAACCTCTTTACTTTGATTAATAAACAAATCTAAATAACCGTCTTTATTTTGTTTTCTCCAGGCCATCATTACGTCTTGTTTTTTTTTTTTTCCTTCTTTTTTTTTCTTTTTTTTTTTCAAATCATTGACCCAACAACTAATCTCTGATCAGGATTCCGATCTATGTGAAACAAATAGGCAAAGTATCGTTAACAATTTCGGTACGGGGGTGCCATGATGGTGCAGAGTAACTCGTGCAGACGCGGTAAGCAGCCATCACCAGACTCCAGCAAGTCTTCCGAAAAGTAATTTTGCCAATCAGTCAGCAGCCTGTCTGGGGGGTCCCACTGCCAGTAGCGATCCTGACGAACGACGGTGTCATAGCCAAGTCGGCTGCAGTGCATTATGTCAGCTCGCTCGCAGTTGTCAGGCAATGACTCTGCGCGAAAAAAACACATACTTAACAATTACTTACAATATTCAGAACAGTCACGTGATGTGTGGGCAATCCGTCGTTAATTCTACTTTTTTGGCCAAACAGTTGTTTCGTACAACTCCCTTGCTCATGCTAGCAATGGTAAGGAATGCTGTGACTATTCCGACTCGTACTGCGGAAACAAAGGTACTTGGTTTCTCAAGGTATTTTCCTTTACTTGCATCCAGTTGGAGTTTATTAATTCGATGCTGTCCAGGCACTGTCTTTTACTAATTTATGGTATAAACAGCTAGGAGAACGTTCGTTCCACAGGCAAATCATGATTATCTTTAGCTGATTCAACTAAATAACACTTCACCCCACGAAGCGTGATAACCCAAGAACCAATCTTCTAACTGCACTTTATCATGAATATAATTTTTGAATATTGACTTTGAACAGGTGATAACTCACCGGTGACGTAGGGAGGAAACCAGACCGTTGAAGGCTGAGTTCCGCGCCCGTTGATATTCGAAGACCACAACAACGCATGATACCCGACCTTGTCAGGCAACTCGACATATATCTGCAATCCCATACGGACGATTCACAATAGTGCGCCACCAAGAGTTTGCCAAGAATTCGGTGGGTAATCATGTCGACCCTCTCCAAACACGCATTGGGTCGACAAATTTCGCGCACTGTGATTTGTCAACCCATTGCAAACTTTTGGTAGCACGCTATTCTTAAACGGCCATATTGTTTTTTTTTTTTAACTTCATTTCTCCAAAATACATTCGAGTTAATATGGACAATATTTCATCAAGCAGAATTTAACCTTAGCAGTTAGTATTGCCAGGGAAGATGAAAAAGTGACAAAGTAAGGACTGAAAAATAGAAGCAGAGACAGAAATTAAGGAACTGCATGCGATCTTTGATATGAAACGGAATAACTGAGAACAGATCAAACAGAATGGATGAGAAAAGTGCACAAAGTAGCACGGACAGATAAAAAACACCAAGATCGCTTAAAATTATTCATCAGTCAGTTTTCCTCGCCCATTGGTTGAGAACAAGTTGCGGAGCCGCTCGGAAGTGGACAATAAAAGACAAGCTCGTGGGAGGCACATACCAACATTGCTGAAGGGGTAATTAATGAACAAAAAAAACAAAATAAAGACACCAAAAAAGTAAAAAGCTTGATCAAAATGCCTGGAAATCAGATTTAAGTTTTTTGACTTTCCGACTGAAAAAAAAGTCCTTTGCTCGTCTTTGCTGGGCTGATTTTAAACATCCGCCTAAGAACTGCTTCTAAGAATAGACGCTGGTAATGTCCCGCGCTGCAAGGTGATGGGTTACGTGTCATCCTTAGCTGACTGCTAAGCACATTACATTAATAAAATCGATAACAGAGGGAAAAAATGAAAAGAGATCCATTACCTTCTGTAGGCCTGTATCGTTCCATTGAAGATTCGAGGAACCTTGTCGGATTTCATGTCGTAAAATCTTGTCGTACCAAACATACCCAATGTCCTTGATAAATTCGACAATACCTTGGGTTAAGTTGACACGGCTGGCGTTTAGGATTGTCACTGGCTCTTGGGGTTTCTTCACATCTGAGGGGAGGGGGTAATGCTGCAAGTGATTAGTGCGTAGCTGCAGCAGTTGCCTGTGATTGCTCCTAGCATGGAGACTTCTTTAATTTTCTGTGCTAAAAATCCTTATCATCTCTTATTGTAGGTCAAATAACGATTGTGGTCAAAATTAACGCGCGGCACAAAAGCTCGGAGTCCGACACACCCGTTTTCAAAATGAAGCGCACACGCGTCTAGTGATTAATTAAAAAATAGTAAAATACTCATGAAGGTATTAAATTAGAGTTAAAAGAGTCTTCGTGGTAAACACTTTTAATACCTTCTTACAGAAATTAAGAGGTAGGCTTAGACCATTCCGGGATATTTAGAAACTCTCATACAACCTTATATTTAGTAAAGGCAATCTCACTGAATATCGCCATATGCACGACGCCCATATGCAGAATGAACGCATGCCATTAAATTCTCTGCCGACTACCGCAATCACATTTATATTTTCGCATTGCTGCTACTGTTTTGCTAAGAGAAGTGATAATCCTAATAGCCCTAACACTCTCTTTTCTCGACGCGTCAGTAATAATCATTGAAAGGTTGGTCGAAACCCAATATTCTTACATGAAATCTTGCATAATTAGTGAGCTTTCAAAACGCGTCTGTTCAAACTGTATAAATGATTCCCGCTACGACATTGACATTTAGTCCTTTAACAGTTAGCCACGCCCCTTACAATTTAACTCAGGAGTCTACTTGTGGTGCTAACACGGCGCATTGCACTTGCTGTTTCAACCTCATTCCCGTGCAAACGATCTTACTGCGCCATGTTGACTCCCGTAATACCTAAAACCATTGTAAACCCGTGGCATTTTTCTGGAGATATAAACTAGGACTCCGTGTAACGTGTTTAGGCGCGACACCTTCAAAATTCACTTGTGAAGAGCCAGTCAGTGTCGTTTTCAATTACACACTTGGTCTAGTTCCTTAGAAAATATTTTTTTTGAACAAGAGTGTATCAGGCTATTTTGTAATTCTTAAGTGTTCCAAGTCTCCCTTTAGATTTTCTTTCTAGTAGGAAGTACTGAAGTATGTTTACCAAAACTATGAAATTATTCATCAGAGTAGGTTGCGCTACATATAAACAAACAAGAAGTTTAATTTATTCCTTCGTTGATGCTCTCAAGCCCCTAAAATGAAAATTCAGCCTGGCTTTTCATTTCAATGTGGCTGACTCATGATAAAGATCTGTAGTGACCTTTTCCTGCCACCAAATTGGGGTCGGTTCAAAAACGAACGTGAACACCAGTATGATACGTCATATTATAAAGTGTTCGTGTTGCAAATTTGTGAAAGGTGAATACAATCCAACTCCAGCGAAATTTCAGTACATTTTTGGTGGCTTTAAATTCACTTCGCTTTTGCCTTCGCCTGAAGTATGAACCGGCCTTTGTTCACCCATTTAGGCATGTATGCATCTGCTTAGGTGAAAAAGGGACGCTACTTTACGACAGCGTGTTAGGCGTTACACTACATTACACGTACGTATCCGTAGTTTCCCCAAAATCTCAGACTGACTTTTCTCAAAATATTAGCAGACCGTGTACAGCGTATTATGCATGTAGCTTAATGGCATTTATAAGTTCCGAAAGCTAAATACATTTTGCGTTCAAAGTAGACAGGCTTAGGTAGGTGTTTTGCGTTCTAAAATAATATTGCTTAAACAGTGCGCTGAAAGGAATGAATATTTTGTGAAATTGGCCATCAAAACCTATATTTCAACAAGTTGCTTTGTCCCAAACCATAGAACTTGTAAGTTCCTTTAGCCTATTCGATGAGAGGATCCAGCCCTATCTCTTGGGCAATGGTAGATCAAGCCTTTAGAAGAATTGGCCTATTCTTGTTTGGAGCATTGAGGTGGGTTGTAACGACTATCAATCCGCATTCATGCCCATATCTTTTCTTCCTTTTCGTTCCTTGAATAAAGGTTAAGGTGTTAAAAACAAAGCAATCGGCTCTCTTATCTGTATATCTAAAACATCTTTAATTAATAAGGGTTACTCTGCAGTAACTATTTTTATCTTCAAGTTGTCGTTGGCGTCTACAGGTTTACCTGGATAGCAGTCCTTTTCCGGATACAAATGGCATTTCAACACCCGTGGCCGTTTTTCCAGCAGCTCTTTCGCCTTCGTGCGGCAACTCTTCCAAATATCCTCGCAGACCGTCTGGCACGGCAATGGCCACACTGTGTGTGAGGAGCCTAAGCCCTCAGTGGTGAAAGCTCCAGCGCAAGCAAAGTTAAGGAGGTCCGCCGAGCAGCCTGAGTCGATGAGCGGGGCCAGGAGGTCCAGATCTTCCATTGCCTCCTGCATGCTGGTATAGCCCAAGGTTGTGGGAAAGACTGTCACCGTATACCAAAGAGAATAACACTCGGCGTGCGGCACATCAAGGCAGCCGTACTCCTTGCAATTTTCAGATGACTGGCTTGCTATAATCTCAGGTAGGGACCAGGGTACCAGCGGGTCATAATGAACCCCTGCAGGAACACGAATACAACAACCTCAGTTCGCTCCTTACTAACCCTATACAATCAAGACACCTGAGAAGGGGGTAAATGCTTTTCACAAAATCTCCTGAAGGAAACAAGTTACGGTTTCCTTTATTGTGAGTTACTGAGCAAGTGTCAGGCGAACGCAGACTTTTTGAACTTCGTTATTGTTCACTCAAAACATTATTCACTCAGTCAGGGTGATGAAAAGGCCATTAAAACGAGGAAATGGTTATTAATGCAAGTAATTAGTCAGGTGACGAGCTTGTTGAGGGGAACGAGGAATTCAAATCGATACATTACGAATCGTTGAAGTTGCAGGACGCAAACGGGCAGAGTCATGTAAGGAGGAAATGACTAAATTAATTTTACATGACAGATCGTTCGACAGATGTTTATGAGTACCAAACGAGTCACGTAATCACATTAAGCCCTGTCGCCAACTTCGGCCTATACAATTATCATCTCTACAAGGGATTATCTAAAGAACAACACCTAATTTTGATGCTTATGGCTTTTACAGATGGCAGCTGCTGGACGGCAGGGCCCCGCCCGTCCAGCCTCAGCTACCCTTGGCGACAGGCCCGATCAAAATACGCATAAAGAAATAGCAAGATCAATTTAGAAACTTCTTGAGAGTTGTTGGAAATCGTCAGACAGAATGCTTTCTTAATTTACAACCGCAGGTATTAAACCCACTTTTAGATTCAGACCATGTTGGCTTGACATAAGTTTGAACAGCGAGGCCATGTTGCAATACTAGTTTGATGACTGAGGAGCGGAGTGAAGTGCATATGCAAGGTGTACTGGCGCCTATGTACATGTGACTGCCCCTGAGGCCACTCGTGGGTGTCGAGTTCCCTCCAATACTTTGTTACAAAACATCGTTTCTTAAGCATGTTGACATATATTTCCACAAGCGAAAAAGCCATTAATGTCTGAATTACATACGTTAATTTCTGGATATCTAGATTTCATTATCGTTCCAAGGGGCGCTTTTGTTTTTTTGTTTTTTTTGGGAGGGGGGTTTGTGGGGTGTTTTTTTTTTTTTTTTTCGTTTTTTGTTTTGTTTTTTTTTTGTAATTAAACTTTCAGCTACTCAGGCTCTTTGCGTCATTAACTATGTGTTTATTCTTAACCTTTATTAATCAGCATCACATTACGGAGTTAGGAAGAAGATCTAGTTTTGTAGGCAGGAGGAAAACGGATTACCCGAAGAAACCTGCGAGAGCGTCCACGGACTGGAAATCAAGCCCAGGCTTCATTGGTCCAGAGCCAGTAAAGAAACGCTACACTAACCCCTTCCCCCTGGCGAATGGATTGCTGATATTACTTTTACAGAGACGCAAACACCGCAGGGCAGAAATCAAAGGGTATTTACAGCTGTTGCATTGTCAGGAGACTGACGTGTACAGTAAGTCATTTTGCTTTTCCCACAGCGCAAATCCACGAAGAAGCTTGTCCAATATCATTTGGGATAGCAAAACCTGCGACTCTGGTCCGCGCAACCAGGCGGCAACTTTGACATGTGATATGTTCATTATTTGTTTTCTGTCCGATCGACTTTTTTTAGTATATGTAAGGCCAAACAGTAACTTTAGGCCTACCTGGCATGAGACATGTCGGGTACGATTCACTTTGTGTCGAGTAGATAGAACAGTCAGTCAAGCTTGGAGGGAGCTCCGTCTTGAGTGCAGCCATGACGGACAGACAGGACTTGGTAAGAACCTGCTCACACAACGACTGGCAGGGAGGGATCGGCACGGCAATATCTTTTAAAACCTGAGCAAAAGAGAGCATCAAGTGAAGGAAAGAAAAGAGATGGCAAAAATATTGTCTGTCAAACGTCATTATCAATGGTAAAAAATACGTTCCAGTCAGTCAAATTTTGATAACAAATAAAACACATGCAATGAGAAGCGATGGTAATATTACATAATCAAAAAAAATGAGACCGTCAGATTATTTAGGATATGGACTCTCTTATTTGTGTCGATAAAAAAGACAAAATCACAGGCTAGCCTATGTTGACCACCTCTGTTAGTTTTATGTAAGAACTTTCACGAACAATTCGTAGTAATCAAATACATGCATTTTAAAGGAAACTACTCTTTGGAAAATCAACAAAATAGTATTGCAAGTAACGACCTTTGATTAAAATTCAGAAATACACTGTGCCGGCTGTAGCCGTAGGATCCAAGATGTGATACTCAGTCTCAAATCAGAACACGGGTTCTGATGATCATATCATTAGAATGTCGAGTCACAGCTCTTCAGAATCCCCAAGCTCAAATGACGATACCTTACAGGGTGGTAGATATGTCAGGCACAGGAAGGTTCTCAGGAGATCGGAGCAATGCCCCGCGTCCGACATGAACACGCTGTACTTGTGTAACTCTTCCAGGGCTTCGGCGGGGTCCTGTTGACCGGCAATATTTGGGAAGATGACGGTGGAGTACGGCATCGCCTGGCAGATCGGGTCGTCGGGGAGTGGCTGGCAGCGTTGGGAAGGGTCGGGACGAACGGCAGGGGGTGCAGGTGTGACTCGGGCCGACTCTTCGGTGTCTCCGTCATTTCTTTCCTCACTACCATCATCCTCACCCTCGCCTGTAAGGATACTTTTAATCATTTTGCAGTGGCATATTTGTCTTTTCCTTTAGTCCCTGTGCCAAGACCCAAACATTTATAGACAAATATTTTCTGGATAGACTTTTCTACCCATGCTCAAAAAAAAAGACTCAAATGGTTTTTATATGTGTTGGCCTCGCAGTGTCTGAAAACAGTTGTCTCAATCACCAGTAATTACATTCAGACTATAATATATGAAAACTTAAGACTATCAAATGTTGAGAAATAATCACATACAATCTGTGTTGTATATTATCATTCAAATGGTCAGAATACATTCAAATGATCAGAATAATTACAGGGTAGCTGCTTATTAAGGTACTCCCCTGCAAAGGTCATCATACCGATAAATGATGTGGACATACAAAATAACAAGGATATGTACGCTACATATAGTTACCAAAAAAGGGATCGATGCACAAATTGTCAGAGTCGTAATTGTCAAGTATCTCGCAGTTCAAGCTCTCTGGCCAAGCCACACCAGTGCTTTGAATGAGGGCTGTCTTCATGCAATCGTCTCTTATGCGCTGACAATAAGTCCTGCAGGGCAGCAACGGGATGGCCATTCCGGGGAAACACCTTGGGAAGAACACAAGGCACAGGAACTGCTGCAGATGGGGGGAGCACTGCGCCTGCAGGAACGGATGGAAATCGTGGTAGCCCGCTTTGGCCTGCAGCATGATCTCGTGGCCAAGGATGTTGGGAAAGTAGGTGATGTTGTTAAGCGGCACCAAAAGGCCAGTCTGATTATAGGCCTCTGTAGTCTGACACGCGGGGATGCTGAGGTTAGCAGGCTGGGAGCAGTAATCTAACCATAACAAAAAGAGATATGTCTACTCATTGGAGGAAACTGTCACAAACATTTAATTTGCCGTTGCTTATGCTATGCACGCGATCCAGTCGAGCATCTACGTTGAAAGAGGGCTTAGAGCAAAATGCCACTGTCGGGATCGTCTCAGACGCGAAATAGACATTTTTCTATTTTATTGTATTCAACGAAACACCCCCGGCAATGTAAATGGTTTCTCTCCCGCTACAACTTAACTAACCAATGACTTTCGTTCAAATTTCGCGCGCTTGGGTATTGTGGCTACCAGTATTCCCTGAACGCGATCAGGCACGAATGCTGTGACCAAGAGACGCGTTCTTCGTCGCTAAGGCATTGTACAACCCTTCGGCCATGGTTATTGTTGATTTTTGAGGGGGTGTTCGTGTTGAAGTCCAGCTGTATTGCTATAATTCCTGTTGTCCGTACATACCACACGCTTTTCCGGTTTGTAAAATTTAAGGTGCGTGCGACGAGTGTGACGCAGTACAATTTCGATCGCCGGACGAAAAACATCTTGAGTGTGTGAGCTGAGTGAGAGCGTATGGTTGACCAGTACCAACTAACCATCTTGAGACCCCTGATGCAGCAGTTGGAGATCGGCCGGTAAATATCAGTTGCGGTTTGATCGGGTCGAAAATGGCAAAATTGGAGCAAACGTATCCTACAACTATGCTGGTCCCCATTCTTGTAACGCTCAGCTTAAAAACCGTCCCAAGATCGATCCATTAATTTGTGTCTTGATAATACACTTTAGATGTTGAATATAAATGAAGTTGACTTCAAAAAAACCAAATTATTGGTTTGTTGAATGTTGACAATTATTGACTTTTAATTAAGAAGGAAACGTTGAATGTGTAAAATTTCAATAGAGAATGAATGTACATCAATGCCCTGTCAAAATCACTGCTGGTATTTTGTCGAAAAGTGATAGGAAATTGATGTTGAAGACGTCAGAAGTAATAATTTATCAATGTTAAAACTGTTGATTGTATTCTGATTACTTTGGCCCCAGAACTTGTTTTTCTCG